ACTCGTAGTAGAATGACGACGGCTACCACTTTTTCACGCCAAAATGACGCTGGTTCACACGCGAGCACCACTTACTATTGAGAAAATCTCGTACTCGTAGTCGTTCTCGTCTTAGAATCTAAAGGTCCCTACTAAGGGGGTAGGCAAGCGCAACGCAATACCCCAAGTAAACTACAACTTGGTTTACAACAGCGCTGATCTTTTTATTATCAAACATTGCAATTTGAGATTATCGTCAATGTAAACCAGAAGAAGTTTGACCTCTGACGCCCCTCTACAAAAAATCATTTCTTTAATATGTCTTAAATATTACATAGAGTCCACATACGACTGCCAACTCAAATTCTATTTCTAACTATTGTCCCTCGTCAGTTATATAATTTTTCTGCTAAATAATTAAGTAATAAATATGCTTCATCAATGATAGCTACCAGAGTGACTATATTGCCGTTTATAGGCCTTTTCCAAAAATTGTCCTGAATCCACGAAATAATTAATAGGTAATAATAAAGATATCAAATTTTCCCAAAATAAGGAAATAGACTTTTTATAATAGCAGACTATTTTAAATATAAAATCATCACTTTTGAACGGGGAAAGGCAAAGATATTCGATGTCCTTTGAATCATCCAAGTAATTAATATACAGCTTTTCATTAAATACTGTTTTAGTGTGAACACCTTTCAATTAAGAATATGTAAATTTGAAACACAGAAAATCTAACTTGGTTAGCATATTTTGTGAAATTTTCCTTTCAGTTGGGTCATAGGATTTCTGGTAAAAAAGAAACGACCATTATCTAAACATCAAAGCAATTATAGACTCACATCTTACTTACAATCGACGACAACTAACTTTACAAATCTAAATCGGTCCATTTAGAAAATTTTGGCCGTAATTTAGAAAACCGTTAACTGAGTAGATTCTAGAATACCCGTCCACTAAAAATTCACCTATAAAGGCTGCTCTCGCAGTCCCGCAATCGTCAAACGAAATTGAAAAAAACGTACAACTGTGCATTGTATCATTTTTCGTTCTTTAAACCTACTTACCTGATGTTAATAGAGACATAGACTACAGGACTACGAGACTGCGGAAGCAATAAAGGTATTTACTCGTAGATTTATTGACTACAGGAATGTGGGACTACGATTCCCAGGCTGGGACTATGGGAGCAGTAGTTCTGCTACTTGCTTTAAATAGATTTGATAACTACAGGATAACATAATAAATAGTGTGGGAGTGTGAACTGAAAATCAGTACACATTTACTTGATCATCGAAGGACCACGGGTAGCAGTTAATATCATATTTTGGGGGTTTAAAAGACCTTTTGAATTTTCAATGGACCCTGCAAGTTTTTCCAGCTTCTCAATTTACCTGCATTTATCTATTCACCAACTTTTCAGTCTCCATTAACTTGAAAACTTTCCGTATTGATGTCTTTGTATCATCAAACTTAATCATATCTTCATGAACCTACTTTTTCATTAATTTCCAAAAAAAGCTTCTTGAGCGAAGACGCCGACTAAAAATGTTAAAACCACAATAAAAGTATAAATTCCATTGAAAGTAATAATAACTCCACCGATTGAAAATCCCACTGTAGGTAAAATACTCTCCAAATAGATAATGTACTTTTCGTAGTTAAACTTACGCTTCTTCTTCGTTTTTGTTCGCCATTGATGAAACGTTTTCGCCATACCAGTTAAAAAGTTTACTCTGGGTAGAGAGTCTTGGCTTTCGCCTTTTTTCTGGGCACTTTCATCCCGAGAAGGCACTGTCAATTTTTCCGCAACCCGCTCGCCATCGGAACTCGTACGGCGATCAGTGGAATCGCTTAACGAGGTAGACTTGTACGAGGAAGTTAAAGTGCCACTGGAAACAAGAGTTCCTTGAGTGGCTTGAGATGGGTTTTCAGAAGACTGAGATCCCTCTATGTCTATTCTCACCACGTCAGGGACGTTTTCGCTGGATGAGCTTCCGCTTAGAGCCACTTCCTGATTCCCTGGAAATTTGTCAACTTTTTCAACATCTGTCAAGGAAGATTCGCTTTTGGATCTCCTGAGATTCAATGTCTGAGAGGAAACGGCGTTTTCATTAACCTGATCGTAATCTGTAAGTAAAATCTCCGGTGTTTTATTGAGAGTTGTGCCTCGTAATGATCCTCGTTTGAGTTTTGATGCTCTTTCGTCCGCAGAGAAATGTATGGATATCTCACTGTTTTTCCTGAAAAATTTTAAAAACATGTGTGAAAGACGTGTTTACTGGAAGGTGTGCTTGACAGCTGCACCACTGATATCTTACAAGAACTCCCTGCCGCAAGAGTAGGGAATCGATTTAGGCGAAGAGAGCTCGCACGCTAAAACTGTAAAACAGAACATGGACTAGCCAATATAATACACTGATATTGATGTAGACTAAAGAACTATGTTGCAGGGTATGAAAGTCCGCGTGTTAAATTTTCAGTTTCGCGATTTTTAAGATCCGGTCTAGCGAAAATTATTGCTGAAAAATAAGAGTATTCCTTCATGGAATTATTACCTCGAATTTGGAGCTTTTTTGGCCTCTGTTTCAACCGCTTCATTGCAGTCATCGTTTGTAAAGCCTTTATTCTTAAATCCCACCGCGTCTTTCTTATCAGGCGCTTCTTTGGACCTTATTTTCTCCTCACTAGGAGTACCCCTCCTGGCCCTTATCGGTGATGGCGACCTGGACCGAGTGTCCGAATGTGACTGGTGTAGATAGTCATGCGCTAACGCTTCAAGTTCGTGTTCCTGCAAACATTGATAAAAGTAAAAACGTAAGTATAGTTATCCAAAAAAACCGCCAGCCTTTTGCGACCGAAAGGGAACATGTTACGTGGGAATAAACCGCCACAAAAGCAGGCTTGCATTGAATATCGCAAGACGTAGCCCTGCAAATCACAGCCTTGACTTGGATGGATACTTCAAAATCAGACCTCCGGAAAAGGACTCAGACTGATCATCATGTAATCAAACAAGAACGAACATTACTCGAAAACCTCACTTCTAATTTTTGCATTCTAGTGAAGTCATGACCTACAAATTGTAGAAAATCTCAAAGGTTCCACATCTCTCCCGACCTATGCTTTAGCTTGATGTGGGGTTGTGCTGGAGTCGTACGGAGAATGCGGTTCTCCTTGATGTTGCGGAAACTATTGTTGGTAGTTATTGTGTTGTGAGATTTGTTCAGTGACTTTCAAGACTTCCCTTTTAGATCATATGTGCTGGCTGCACCATCACCAAAAAGAAACTCCCTGTTTGCGAGTACTACGAGCTTTTGAAGATCATATAGGTAGTCTTTACACTAGAGCCTAAATAAGGTAAGAAATATTTCAAGACAAGTAAATTTTAATTACTTCAAGTAAAATAAAGCTTCACACACAACCGATTCTTTTTTTACTTCAGGTTAACTTAAGGCTATTTTCCCACGCAACATAATTACGATTGATTGACGTGTTTCGCCTTTCTCAAACCTCAAGAAACCGCAAGTAACAGCAAGTCAGCTAAGTCGGTTTTAAGGATGGTTTTCAAGTCGCTTGAAACTTTCTTGAATCGTTTCAACTTTCCGACTTTAATGAGGTGCAAAGTAAAGTTACTTGAGATTTTACTTAGGCCTTCACACACGAATTTTTGAATCAGTAAAACTTAGCAGCTCTTAAGTCTTACTTAACAGCCTAGTGTAAAGACAGCCATAGACCTGTCATCAAGGGTTGGTTATCTTTTACCGCATTTTACTGAACAAACGTCATCCATAGCATACCTCAGGGATATCAACCCATGCGTTAACCACCACCAGCTTGTACCTCAAGTAAGTCTTCGTTACCCAGGCTGCTCCAGTAAGCGGACACACCACCCAGATAAGAGGTGCTATGGCGAACCACACATAAATAGCAAACCGCTTTAAGAACAAAAAGTTGTACGCATTCAGAACAAACGAAGTACTGCAGGCAACCAGAAGAGTGGTAAGGACAACCTGTTGAGATAAAAAGCCTGTGTAAGAAAATAGAAAATTGATACTAAAATATACGTTAGCTCGAAAGGTTTCGAGCTAGCTGTTGACCTACTTGGTCAATCAAGTTCCGTGACTTCCTTGGCTGTAAAGATTCTAAATGTACTATAATATAGGTCATTTTATTTCTAGTCAAATGGTCGGTTTTTGTCCAGTTAGTCCATTGCTCTCGATTTTTGCTTACGGTTGGTCAATAAGTTGTTTGTAAGATGCTGGTAACTGCTCAAATACAAATTTTGCATCCCGTGGTGAACCCACCAATAAGTTCTAATCTACGCACTTGCAAACTCAATAACGTACCGTGCTCTTCTGGCTTCCTTCACGAACAAACTTGGCGCGAGCAGAGAAAAGATTGACAGCTTCAGGAAAAGCCACCTGAATTGGATTTTCACGGAAAAGTTTACCCATCCGATCTGAAGCGAAAAGTAATATGAGAACATCAAAGTTAAAAATGAAATTCAACTGTCTCACCAATTTTTCGCGTGCCTTTCACCTTCGCGTCTAGGGGCGGGCATGCAAAAGGCAAAATGTTATAAGTATTAGGCCATAAACTTTTGTGTACATAGTCGAACCTCCCGTAGGCGACCACCAGAAATGCAAAGACTGAGTGGTCGCTTAGAAGAATCGAACCACAGGGCACCCAGTCTTCCGAGAAGAGGTCCAGACACATCTTCTTTATGGTAGATTACTTATTGCATGCAATGTCTAAGTTACGACATTTGTAGTTCCATGTTGTCACTAAAGTTCTTCGTATAATCTACGTAGCATAGTGCACACAGCGAACATAGAGATCAGAGAATGCGTCAAGTTGTCGCTTACAAGAAGTTTTAAAAACAATGGAAAATCATTAACCGTACGGCCCAAAAAGTGGTTGCGGTCGCTTACAGGAGGTGGTCATTTACTAGAGGTTCCAACTGTGAGGCTTTGACTCGTAAAAATTTGGTGTTTTGGATTGGTGGTCGCTTATAGGAGGTGGTAGCTTACGAGAGGTGGCCGCACATGGAGATTCGACTGTATACGGATTTAAAACACCCTCCTACAAAGAAATCAAAGGACAGTTGGACAAAATCCAGAAGCTTTCTCAAGCTGTTAGATCCTAGGAACGGACCGAAGAGGACTGATTAGAGAAGGAAAAATGGGAGGTCGCCCCTCCCTACTAAATAATACATGCCGCTGATCTTTCGCCGTTCCCAGGTAAAGCCAGGAATTTACTTTAGTTCATATGGACAATTAAGGCTAGGATACAAAAGAAATTCTATTTGCCGTTTAACATGAGAAGAGATTTATCTTAATTACACCTTGTCTACTTATTTCTGTAGAAAAAAAATACGATAAACTATTTTGAATGGGAACAGTCTCTCTTACCGTTAAATTCACGCATTGAGCTTTGAATCATGAAGATCAAACTCAAGTGGAACACAAGTAGCAGACAAAATCCATAAAAAATGTGGAACAGGCTTGTTGCTCTGAGAATGTTGAACAGCACGTCAATTCCAGTAGGAATCATGACTCCAGTCTTATTGGACAGCTTGGAGAAGCTGAGTTTGAGAGCTCCATCATAAGCGTAACATCCAAATTGACCCATAGCTGCACCCATGGCAAACATAACCACAACTATCGGCATAAACTGATAAAAAAAACTAATGTGAAAACCGGCACTAGTATAAACACCAGTTAAGTGGACAACTAATATAAATATAGAATTTGGGAACGGGTAACCCAAAAACAGTCCAGGCTACATTGCACTAAGTCATCCAATTACAGATACACAAGCGTTTATGATTTAACTGTAATCCGCGCGAAAGGAGCTCCGAAGGGAAGGGAGAAATCCGGCACTTCTCGGTAAGCGCGTTCCTCTTCCTTTCACCGTTTCGCCGCTTCTGTTTGGCTCAAATCCCACGGCTAAGGCTTTATAACCAGCTAGCATTGATCATATTTGAAGACGTTTTGCGATATCCGGTAAAATGACGTCAATAGTCCAGGCTATTGCAAGGACGAGGTTGCAGTAGCTCAGCTGTTTTAATGAAGAAAATGCGAGTAGAAAATGGCGGAAAATTTACATGTTTTGCGAAAAAGTGATAGCAAAAACGAAACGATAACAACTGCTATTGAGAGGACAGGATATCTGTTAGACTAACTAGACTTTACATCCGCTTACAACCTGGGTTTGCCAAGAGGCAGGCAAATGAAGGCGGGAACTTAAAATCGACTCCAAGTATGTTTTAAGGTATGAAATATTTTGGATGAATTAGAAAAACAACTATTGGATTTGGCTTAAGAATGATCTGAAGAATTATGCAGATCTCGGAGGTTGGGTGTTATCCGCCGAGGCCGAAACACCCCCCTAGTAGCCTGTGTGCAGACCCCCCTCCCCACCTTCCCCTTTTCCGATTTTTACTGAGGGGAGGGGGGTGCTGTACACAGGCTACCTCCTAGTCGATCTACATAATTCTTCACATCATACGAAAGCCCAATACAATAATTGCTAATTATCTTCGGACCCAAGGTTGCCTAAGAAACGTTCTCACTAATTAGTTTTCTTAATCAAACAAAACGTCAGCCTGAAACAGTGTGAAGCATTCTTGTCGGTTGACAACCTAGAGTTTCCTTGTCATAGGGACTTAGTACTCAAATCAAACAAATCAAATACAAGAAACAAACTGCTATATAAGAATCACTGACAGACGTACGGACTTTCTGAAAATGAATATCTCATCGCAAAAGTTAACAATTATTGTTTTTCGACAAGGAAATGAAACCTAAAAATGTTTTCCATCAGGGTTTTCATAAAACGAAAACAGTGTCTTATTTTTAACATGCAGTTCAAAACAATTTTTTTTTAACTTCAATTAAATATAGTTTCCACGAACCATAACTCCTGAAGGCCTTAAATTTTATTTTTATCGATACAAAAGACAGGTAATTGTCTCCTCCGTTCGGTTGGTTTCTGTTAATCACTCACAAATGAAAAACAACTGTAGGTCGCCTCTTTTTCATTGATTCAATAGATAAAAAGAGGACAATAAAAAAAATTTTTAGACATACAACCGTGAAATAAATCATTTCAGAGACTACATGAGACAGCGTTCACTCTGAGAAACCTCGGGGATCGAACAGCTACTCAATCGCAAAGATTTCTTTCTTCTTAGTTCCTCTCCAAAAAAATTGAGGTGCAAAACGTTTCAGTTTGTACGAATAGAAAGAATAAGAGTAAATTCTGAGATCAGGATAATGCAGACATTAAAAACCGCGAGGCTGATGTATTTGATTAGATATCGGTGGGGAACAGGTTGGAAGCGATAAAAGGATCCTTAAAATATATATACACTCGGGCTATTTCTGGATTTATTTGCATTTCCTAGAGATAATCGCATAGGGAGCAAATCCAGCATACCCGGTATCTAATTTGATATAAATGAATTTAAAATGAATGCGCAGTTGGATGGATAACGCGAAGAATTGGATACATCAGGGGTGTGATTGTGATTGATATAATCTCACAGTTATTGGCCCTCTAAACATTTTGAGAAGAATCTGATAAAATACCAAACAATTTCATTAAGGAAACTACAAACAGTGGGGGGATTAGAACATTGGCGACAATGGACACATACTTACCTTGAATATAAGGTAAACACGTTTTAGAGTCTTGGGATAATGTCCATCTCTCTTGAGTTTTTTTACCCCCTTAATAAACCATGGAACAGAATGCCTTATCATGGAGTAACAGCAAGCTACAAGCGTTATTAGAAACACACCAATACATGTTGCCCAAGACACTTCAAACACAAATACCGCCTCGTAAAAATCCAAACCGAAGTGAATGACCATATTGAAGATCCATATTACGAGACCGATCCAACCTTTGAAACGATTGAAAGACCGATTAGTGTCCCCAATTCCGGCGGAAAGTAAGTAAGTCCTCCGCTGAATCAAACTTATATCGACTGATTCTAGCTTTAGGTCATCTGAGAGTTCGTGTGGGACGTCTGTAGAAGACTCCTTGTCGTCGGACAAGGAGTGTTTATTAGTTGCGGTCTTGTTGCTGGTTGACCCGTTGCGTGTCACAACTCGTATTCTAGTTGTAGACCCATTAGTCACGTTTGCCATTTCCACATCGGCCATTTTAAGCCAGGAAACTGCTTTTTAGATCCTTTGAAGTACCTTGTATATTCGATACTGAAGTCTGTCACAAAGCTTGTCCGGACATGACTAACATACGGTCACTTTCATAGAACAATCAATCTGTTCTGAATCAACCCAATTACAACTGCAGCCTGATGCTAGTTTAGTTGGTATATACTCTGAACGGTCATAATATAAGCCCATAATCCAAAGAATTTTCATGAAACAGCTGCCTGAAAATGTAACCACAAAAAAGCTTCAATTAAGTCTTATATGTTTTACGACAAAACTTAATATTTATATTATTAACTTTTAAGCAACAATACGTTTGTGTTGATTTCCGATTTAGTACTACATTGTATTTCAATGCAGCTGAGTTTAACGTTTTAGGCCCTTCGAAGAAATCTATAGAAATGATTTTTGAAAACCCACCGTCGCTAAACAAATCTCAAGAGATAACAGGTTTGAGTTGAGCTCCTCTTCGAGCACACAAAACTGTTGGCATGTAGATGTTTACCGCAATATTGCACTCAGCTAAAATTCATAGTGATGTTGCACAATATGATTTCACTCAATGAATAAAACAAGTCTGTGAAGAAGTTTCTCAGATACTGACCTCGTCTACAGGCGATATTAAACACCGTGAATTCTTAGCCCAGTGCCATCCGTCCACACTCAAGGGCATCATCGAAAACGATAACGAATTCTTCAAACTTGTAACATGTCATCAGGTTCACGAAATTCTTGAATATAAAGCAGACTGCAGTGACCCGCGTGATGAGCTGCCTAACTACCGAAACTAAACAATAGGCGTTGAAACAGGTTTTTATCTGTGACCAACGAGCCACGACAAATGAGTTCTGTGAGACAGGGGTAATTATATCAGCAATAAACTGTTTTGATTTATGACCCCTTTTCATCCCCTGCGAGCATTCCTTTTCCAATATTTAAAAATATGATTTTAGTTATTTCGATTTTGGCCATAAGAAGGAAATGGGAATGGAATTCAAAACAGGAATAGTTCCTTCTTGTTGTTTGACGTCAATAAAGAAATCGGTTTATTGTTTGCCAACTTCTTGATTGGCTAAAAAATTGTTATTCAAAGCTTATGAATGGAACTTGCATTGAATGCACTAATTTCAACGCCATCTTCAACAAAAACTATTCAGAAGAAACATAAACAAAGTTAAAGCCAAAAAATAACACATAGAATAAAAGCAGAAACGCCTCACTACTAGGCAGATTACCTGTTTGCCGAATACGTTTTTATTGAAGTAAAATAAAAAAAGGCACACAGCGTTCTTTTCTTCAATACCAAACTATCGATTGGTTGACTATAACCTACTAATCATAGGCTTTTCAATGACTCGTCACCTTCTATAGATATAATCACACTTTTCATAGAAATACAATGTAATACAATGAAATACAATGGAGAGCATTATTTTCGTCTTTTTAGGCTACAAGACTCGGCTAGGGTCATGTCAGCAGCGCGCCGAAAAAATCCCAAAACGGGTTCCACAAAAAATACGGAAAACAAGCCGCGAAAGCTTATTATTATTATTATTATTATTATTATTATTATTGTTATTATTATTATTATTATTATTATTATTATTATTATTATAATTAATTTCTTGCTTTGTGTGCACTTGCTGATCTCATACCGATTTACTTGCTAATGGAGCGAGGCATAATCCATGACCAACGGGCCCTTTAGAGTTCACCCCCTTGCTTAAAACCATGCTGTTCCTAGTAGCGTAGTTTTTATGGGTAATGAAATACTAATTCTTATGTTCAACTTTTCCAGCTACTTCCCAATGATGCTACAACCGGCAATCGGTATCACCTGCACAGTTCTCATCAGTTCCACATCAACAGTCCTCGCAATTTGTCTTTTAGAAGTCGTGATTCTTTTCAACCTTCTCATTCTCTTTTTCATCAATTCACTTTTTGAAAAAAATGAATAAATGAATAAAATTAATTACAGTTGAAACTCGATATAACGAAGGGCCAAGGGACTGGCAAAATATGTTCGTTATAACGAAGTTCGTTAACTTATGTCGAGGTTCTTTTGCATATTGCCTTATATTCTACTATTACTGGAGTTAAAAAGAAAATAGTTTGTTAGACCGAGGACTTTGTGATAGAGGTTCCATTGTAATATACATTTTCATATAAATAGTATCTTCTGAATAAGAATCTTCCAGCATCTCAAAGAAAGTTATTATTGGTCTGTTTCGATCCGATCAGTCTGATGCGTAAAAAGCCTCAAAACGCTTGTCTTTACAAAACTGCACTTAGTCCTAGACCTCTGCGTTTTTAAACCAGCAAGACGACGCGGAATTGAGTCTTTTTGATAAAGGTTCTCGATTAAATCTAAAGACTACTCCACGAACTGGGGTTTCTTAAAACAAATTATATCGGCTGTTGATTTGCTCTCTGACCCATTTCGATGATCTACTAGACAAAATGAAGGGGTTACAGGAACCTACAGTGTAATATCATGATCTGCAAACTTCGAGTGGCGGATCCAGCATGTGCAATCAGGCTCAGCTGGAGAAAGGTACTCTTCCGCGGCTTAAAATTTATAAACATGACTCCGCTCAACAATGACTCAAGAAAGGTTCAGTAATCTGAAAGTTCTAAACGTAAACAGCCCCAAAGAGAGAACAGCCAAATTTGCACCCCATCCACCACTTCAAAAGAGGTGGTCACCGGCCCCCGCACTCTAAAAACTGCTCCGCGGGCCCTGGAACTACAGCCGTATCACCATCCCTTTCCTTTGGTAGAGATCTATCTCCTTCGCCCTTTTACAAAGATTTATAGGAGTTATATTTGACAGTAACCTTTCTTTCGATTCTCATGTAAATAATACATCGCACTACTACTGAAAACTTTGTCAAATAAGAGTGTCCGACATCTATTTACAAAAGACGTTCTTTCAGTTATTTTGAATCCTTTATTGTTTGTAGTGTAATTGTACGAGTTTAATTAAAAACCGTACCACCATTTGAAAACTTGCCGGCCGTAACGCGAGGTTTCACTCCTGGCCTTTGGATGATGAGTGCCATGCATTGTCAGGAGCTCCCCAATCCTAGTTTTGGGATCCAAGCCAGTCGGTTCATATCAAATATTGTTAATGTATGAAAAACTACTTTAAACTGTAGGGGAACACAAGAAAATAGCTGAAAAACAGGCAAACAATTGGCCCAATTTTTTTCAAGTTTTTATGCTATCTCTGAAAAAAATCACCAAATGAAATTAAAGTAGTTAGTGCTCCCTGATTAAATATTTTTTATGCGATATCTTGTTCATAATTCCATATGAAGGCATTTTTTTGAATGGAAAGGATGCTAAATTATTGACTTTAGCGCCAGAATTGGCTTCAAACGGCAGCATCCTCATAACACAGCCCCTTATAAACGACGTATAACAGCAGTCGACACTTTTTATAATACTATGCTTTTCAAGTTTTATTTACAAATTGCTAAGTTAAAGTGAAAACTTTAAAATATCATGTCATTTCTCTTTAAAGCTACTCTGCATTTTTTCTCGCAGGGAGGACAATGAGATCAACAATTTCTGTTTAAAATGTCAGTCCTATACCGTAAACTACCGCTTATTAGGAGGCTTATACATCTTCCATAGCAATTTTATATAGAAGGGCTTATACCAGAGGGGGCTTATAATCGGAATAGAAAAAAGGCCTCGAAACAAGTCAAAGCAGTGCCGCAGTGCGGGAACAGTGGTGATCAAAATACGTTTGCATTTGTAGTCACAAATAAAGAGGGGGGCTTTTAATTAATTGGAGCTAAAGTGGGGGTGGGGGCGGGGGGGTTATAATCGGACGTATTTTTTTGTTTAGAGGTGGATGGGTCTGTCACTAGGGGTGGGAGGCTAATAAGTGGCAATTTACAGGGATCAATTTAGGTTTCTGGGAAACCACCCACCTATCCCTCTCCTAAGCCATCATTTTGCCCCAAGTGAGAAGTAAGTGTTAATGTTAGTTTAGGGGAGGGGTAGGTGGGCAGTTTTTGATTGGTTTACAGCTCTTGCCTCTTGTTCAAGTCGTGAAAGCGGGAGGTTCTGGCGGTGCGATTACCAAGAGCGGTAATCAGGCAATGTATAACATTTGCATTGTATGATTCGTTCAAGTGGTGAATGTGACACGTTAATAAATACGTTTGCCTGGGCCTCTTCAAGTGTTACGGCTTATACGAGCAGTTTAACCATTTGCATGCACGACTCGTACATCAGTTAGTGTAGTTTTACCACCGGCTTGGGCGAGGCTTGCACGACTTACACGAGTCATGCCATTCGAAAAAGCCCCCCTCCACACAAATTCTAAGTGTCCATAATGAGACGTAGTTTAACCAGTTGCACGACTTGTACGAGTGGTACCACCTGAAAAAGTCTCCTTCCTACAATTTGCCACTCATTACTGTAAGGGAAATGAATAAAAGCTTTCGGCCCAAAGATTTCTGGGATAGTTTCGGTGGACAACAGTGACGTCGTTATTACTCCCTCAGTTGTTGAGAGGAGAAAACGACTCGAAGCAATCGGATGAATTTCAGGCTATGATTATTGGTCACTGGATTATTGCTGAGTGGGTCGAGGGTTAAAGATAAAGCAAAACGGCGGGAATTTACACAATTGATTCATTTATTATGTGTTGTACACTTGTTAAGTGAATTTGCTTGTTTTAGCACACTCCTCCTGGTCCAGCAGTTCTAGACCTATAGTTTAATAAATTTGTGCTGCACATATTAATTAGCATATTAGTGTCATTTCAGTTCTTGTATACAAAGAACTGTCGAGAACTACAACCTTCCACACATTAACATTCAGGAACCTACCTGTATTTACATTACAATTTCAATATAAATTATAACTTAATTTAATAAGGCCGTCGTTGGCCTTCAAAACTCGCCCAATACATGCACAATATATGTCCGATACATGCCCAGTATATGCGAATCTGCGTGACGATTCCCCATCACATTTTAATGAATTAATCCTGAAGAAAACCTAAGAAGCATTCATATCCACCACAATATTTTCGCTGCTTTTCTTTGGATTTATTTCTCTGTTTGTCTGTCAATTTCGAAACGGATAAGAGGAGATTAAACGGCTTTGGTGTAGGATGAGTTCAATAACAAGACGGTATGAGCTAACGAGGTTTAATGAAGGGAAGAACGGTATGAAGCTGCTTCGGCGACTTTGTGGATTTTTGCTGATGACTGCAATTGATTGTTTTTTGTACTGATGGAGGTCATGCCCAGCACTATTCCTCTTTCGTTATTTGTGTCTTGACTTTTTCTACAAGTTCTTCTTGAGGCATTGAAGCAGAAACCTGCAAGGGAAGTAAAAGTGTTCACAGTTTAGAATGCGTTACAGATATTTGTTGGCATTGTCAAATTTTTCCGATTTGCTAAAAGACTAGATGTCTGTAAATACATATACATGTCAAGAACAACCGTGTACAATACACCTGGTATGAGGTTTCTTTACGCTTCTGAGAAAACGACGCAGCGATAAAATAACAAGGACTTGGTCCTGAACAATGAGGCTGATGAGCTGCTCATGAAATCATCCCACCCTTAAGCCCTGCCGCACTAATGCGTTTTCGTTAGAAAACGCCTAAAATCTATGCGTTTAGACCTTCAGTCCACACTAACACGCTGGGCGTTTTCATCGAAAACGCATCGATTTGAAAACGCTCTTAAAAGTGGATCAAAGCGAAAATGCATACATATCAGATTATCTCTTTCATATGCATCTATCACATATCGGATTGTTGTGGACAGAAACGGGAACGGACGCAAACGCATCAAAATGAAAACGATGACCCAAAATATCGCAGGCGCATGTGTTTGTAGCATGCGCAAAGAGTAACGTGCAATTTTATTGTCACTGTGGACAGTCGAAAAAGCATCAAAACGAGAACGGGGACGAAAATAGATTGATGGGTTTTGGATGGCAACACATATTTTTGAAAACGCATAAGTGAACATCGCCTTAACAATTTTTGGCAAGAAAGGACAAGCAGCTTTAATTACAGTATTACTCAGCAAGGAATGAAGAAAGAGTTTCCATATGCAGAGCAAACCTCTTTCCCAGGGATAACAGGGGATAACTTTGTTCCCAGATAACAGAGCTACCCGGGAAACGAGGGTGGCGTGTTATTCGGACCTTAGCGAGTCAAAGGTTGAAAACAAAGGTGGAGTGTTGATTTACATCTGTTATGTAGTTCAGTTGTGTGATAAACCGTTATCAGATGAGGTTTTTCTGATATCCGGAATAATCAAGGTCGAGGTGAAGGAAAAAGTTATCAGCCTAGCCGAAGGCCGAGGATGATAACGTTTACCGACCGTGGTCTTGATTATTCCGGATATCACAAAAATAAAATTTAATAACTGTTTTATTATGCATTGCTTACAAACACACCGTCTGAAAATGCTCTTTGAGATCACGCACTGCGCGCGCGTTACCGACAGATTGGTGCACTGATTTCCAAAATCAGCTGTGGGCTTTTATTCAATGAGAAGGCAGAAAGTGAGTACAATGTACAATATATACCTTAACAGCTTTGCTAGGATCTGCCAGACTGTCGATCATGGGTCGGGTGTTTTCATTGTAGACCTGTACTTTAGTTCTTGATATTTCTTCCTTGTCATCCTCTCTTTCCGAAGTTTCTGCTCTTTCCTTGATCACCCGTTCCATTTCGTCATCACCACTCTCTAGCACGATTATTCTGTTATAATCAGACACCTGTTTCAAAATAATTTCACACAGACACAATAAATGTTTGATAAAACACTTAATATGATCACCAATCGATAAAAAATATTCTTTTCATTGCTTCCAAGGAATTGAAGCCATGGCGAGGCGCGAGGCGTCTAATGCTCTGTTGCGTTTCTACCGCGAAATTGGGTATAAACGGTACACAGCCTGGCTGGTTCATCCTCAAGCAGGCCATCAAAGAGTCGTTTCTGTTGGGTTTGCGGCACGTCATTTGTACTTTGCAATTTTCTAGAGGAACTAGAGGAACCGAAAGTTGTCGCCACTGCCCTACCGTTACTCTTGTTAGTTTGCAAGATATATCATTTGCGTTTAACTTTGACTTTGTGTATCCGAAAAATGGCTTCCAAACTAAGGTGTACAGACAGGGATGCGGCTAATTACTGAAGAATGTTTTGGTTTAAAGGCACTTTTATTGGGAGGGGGGGAGATGTACTTTGGAGGGGTTAGGCATGTCTACTACATTAACTACGGTATGATTTCTATATCCAAGGAGACAGGAAAGCCACTAGATTTACCTTTTGTTTGAACTGATTAAGCTGCTCCTCTGTACGTGGATAGCCGTCGATGCAGTATCCATTCAGATTCTTTTCCTCTTTTTCCAGCGATTCAGTCAGTAATGCCAAAACAATTTCCTAAAGGAACATTATCATTCTAAATCAGTTATAATACAGTCAAACCACGCTTAATGGACACCTCGTTTTTTAGAACAGTTTGCTTTGTCCCATGGGAAAGAAAGATCTTACATTTTCTCTTAATTCACCCCGCTTAATATGGACACCTTCTATGGCCCCCTCAGTGTCTAATACGTGAGTAATGAAAGTCAGAGTTAGGACTAATTGAGCAGGTTAGCCGAATTCGCTCAGCGCTACATACAAATAGCAGCTGACAGGCCGGCCCGAGTTCAAAGTTTAAAGTTGGGGATGAGAATTCCGCGACGAGATGACAACCAGTTACTAAGGAACCAACTTAAACCTACCGTACGTGTATTACACTTTCTTCATTCGAAAGCTGGGGAAACCTAAAATTCCGGAAGAAAGTACCAATAGAGTAGACTGTTCACAGTCCCCTATTTTTCCGTAAGATGGTCGAGATCGAGCGCTTTACGTTACGGGCTGCCATCTTGCATCAGTGTCAGAACTACTCAGGGGGCGGGGGTGGTTTGGGAGGAAGCGAGAAAAAGATTTCTCTCGCCCCCCTCCCCTAGAGCTATAATCTCCGACGCCCGTCTCCTCGGTACATTTGAAAATCAAGATGGCCGCAATTAACGGTAAGACGAGATATATCTCGACGATCTCACGAAAAAATAGAGGAGGGTGAACAGTCTACCAATAGAGACACTGCCGGTTTTTGGGAGGAAACCCAAATGCCATGTCTGAATGCTTGACTTTGAACGCCATGCCCTAACTTTTGAAGCAAACCGACTGAAACGGTCGTGTTAAAGGAATTAGGTAACTGAAATAAACAACTGAAACATACTGCGCCAAAACCGAGACACCCCAATGCGGAAGATTAAATCTAAAGTGACATAACGGAAAAGAAAGATAGGGAGAAAACGCAACGACATTTTCTCATTACTTTTCTAGTTCATACATACCGTGGCAACTAATACGCCCATCACGATGGCTTCGTTAATCGACTGAGCCCGCTCTGAATCTCTCTTTGCCTCTTCTCTAAGCAAGGAGCCAACCGATAGGTGGGTTCTGCCGGTCGATTCGGAAAGTGTTTTACCCAGTTCTGCTTTTCCCACACCAGGTGGACCTAAAGCCACGTAATGAACAATTAAATACATACTTCTTTGTGTTGAGAGCCAGTTTCCTTGTTATAAGACAGTTTGAGTTCCTAGGGGTGACGGGGGAAAGTGGAGGCTACCACATCCCTCACAAAAATGACGGGAGCGACTATCGAGAGAGCGCTTTTAGCCATTTTTACCCGTACCAGATGACTATGTGAGGGTCCTCATTTTTTACGGTTCAGTAATTTAAAAGTTCCATCTAAACTCTCATGGAGGTACCCTTTTTGTGCCTCCACCCTAGAAAGCACCATACTTTTAATTCTGCTTCTGAAATGCGCTGCCATTATATTCACAAGGGCGTTTTCATGGACTTTTAACCGCACAGAAATATTTCAGGCTTTTAAAATAGATGGCTAAACGTGGGCTCCCTCTCACTAAAGGTCTCGATGGTCTGACTGTTGTGGGACGTAAAAGAAAAACCAGGGACATAACAATCTTTGGCACCCTCAACACTATAATAGTACCTGTGTAGCCTGTTCAAGGCCCTCAGATAATAGGGATGACGCGTGAATGAAAGACAGGCCAAAATATGAGCGCGTGATTTTGGCTCTTTCTCTCCCCAGTTTCCCTACCGTTTTGTTTTCGTGTTCACGTTTTCTCAATTCCGCGGACCCGACTATCTCGGATCCTGGAACGGGCTAGTGCTTGTACCTCTCTGTGATGGGTTGTGGGGACGGGACCTTTTGCGCCCCTCACTTGTCTCAAATTTCCCTATGACGAACCCTAGTATCAAGACTTCAAAAGGAAATCGGAAAAACAAGTGTCCCGAACGCTCATACCTGTTATAAAAGTGACGTCATAATCATGAAGTGACGTTGTTTTTCGGTTTGGAAGATGTTCAAAGATGTCACTAACTTGGGCGAAAACTTCATCTGGAGATCCTTCGGCCAAAACCTTAAGGCAAGAAAAAGAAAATTAATTGTAAAAATAAGAACCAATCTTGATAACCGATAAATAAATTGTATGTGTATTATTGTATGTATTAATTGTAACAACAAAACTCTGAGGGTTCGTAGAAGTTTACTCTAATTTAAATAGGACAAGAGAATATGCTTCCGAAGCATTCCAAAGTGTTTTCGAATGGGATCTTCTTTGTCTCAGTATTTTGCAAAATGGGGTGTCGCATTTTTTTTTTGAAATTTGATCCTTGATGAACGGAGTACTTGATGAAAGGTTACCTTCTTGACTTTATTCTGTGATTCATAATACTCAATAACAGGCTTCGTTTGGTTCTCGAACGTTTCCAGCCGTTTCATAATCGTTTCCTCGTTATCGTCCACACGTCCACTCGTTTCTGCTCGCGCCAAAAGCCGCTTCTTCATTGTTTCCGGTGAACATTCGAAGTATAACACAAACTCGCAACTTGCAATCTATATTTCAGAAAAAAAGAAACCGAAGACAAATCTCGTTAAAAATGTAGCCTGCGTAGAAGGCGCTTGGAGGCAATGTAGGAGAAAGAACAGGGCGCGCGACGCGGCCCACATGAATTCCAAGCGCTAGGCTATTAAAGGTGGTAAGCCTGTAACCTCTTGTGCTAAGTGTGCTATGTGATACGTGCAATGTGTGATACGTGTCACGTGTGTTGCGTGCAATGTGTGACGCGTGTCATATGTAATGTGTGCAATGTGCGATGCTTTTTATGTAAGATGCGTGTGACTGAGTTATAAGTGACGCATGTGATTTGTTCGTTGCCATTTAACTTTTCCATTGACTTTCTTCGAACGTTGTTCCTGAAGTTCTTTTTTTGGTATTCCATAAATCACCCCCAAGTAGTTTGCCTCCCGTCATTTAGGATTTTTGATCATACTGTGTTTGATTTGGACCATTTGTTTATAATAATTTAAGTGGATTTCCAGTTAACCGCCTGCACTTCCACTGAACACAAAGTTCTTTTAAATTAAATATTTATAATGGCAACAAAGCTACAGCTTGACCCACCTTCTCAACCCAAAAGATACAAGTCACATTAAAAATGTTTCGCGATTAAAATGCTGAAAATGCCTTTGAAAAGAAATTGCCAGTGTTTGGTCGTCACTACAATTGCTTGACCCGAGAGTCAGGGGAAAACTATCGACGTTGGCCGACGTCATAAAAGGGATTTGCCCCTGGGGAAGAGGTTGGACGCCGGCCCAATCATTTTCGTGGAACGATATTGCAGGTTATCTACGTAAGTTTTGCAACGTAGCATCGACCATTGTACGTAAATATATTACAAGTTGAAGTAAAACATGACACTATTTACAGCATTGCCTAACAAATATTTTTTCAACTTACTTCATTTTCAAATTCTTTTCCTTGCTCCAGTTCTCGAGGAAAACCGTCTACGATAAATCCCTTAGTGTTAGGAATGTTCACCATGGCAACTCGCAGTAGCTCCAGAATTACTCTCTGAAAGAGAATTGTCAGAATACCGCTTTTTTACCACGGAAACTAGGTTAGCGAGTACGTATACAATCACCCCTTCAACCTCGTTTCCAGGGTCTTTTATCACCCCACCCCTGAAGGAGCGAGGGGGACGGGAAAAATTATGAGAGACCCTGGGCACGAGGCTACAGCCCCCTTGCCCGTAGAAAAACAAATCATAAGAAATTCGTCAAAAACGCCCTTCGCTTTTTCAGAGCGGATGGACAATTCCTACAAATGTACGAGTAAAAGTGGTCCACCACTACACTCCGATGATAGCAATTCCACTTGCAGGGACGACGACGACCCCTATGTCCCTCAAGAATGTTTTTATCCGTATTTCTAACGATCCCAAAACCAAAATAGACACAAAAATTAACAGTGAAACAGACAACCTTTTAAGTAGCTTTTTTACATTTCTCTCGTTCGACTGCGCACTTAAACTACATGTACAAAACAGGCTTTCTTGGGGTCTTTCTGCAGGTACCGTCATCACAAAAGAAACAAAGGAACCAAACAATAGAGTTCTACTGGGGATTTTATTGTTTGGTTGTATTGTTTCTTTGTTGTACGTAATCAGTGGCTCAGTACCTAAAGAAGGAACCCTTTTTGGCCTCAACTCGGTCGGGTGACATCTTAACGATAACTAATCTTACGTGAGTTGGTATCATTCATTGAATCTTTACAAGCCCTCTTACCATAGGAATTAGCTCGCCTTTTTCCATAATTTGCACCAGTTCTTTGCTCCTTGGTGAACCAGATTGAACTTCGGCTCTCACTAAGTCTCCAGTCGACAGGTGAGTATAACCAAACGACTCTACAATACGGGCGCACTGAGTCCCCTTACCAGACCCAGGACCACCTAGTAACAGAGACAGTAGGCTGATTTAGCAACAGAACGGGAACGTCAGTTGACGACGGCGCACGCAAATCAAACAACTGGCTTGACCAATGGCAGAGCGGCAAATTGAGCACTGGAAGTCGTGTTTCGTCCTTTACGCGCGATTTCCCGTCATCAACTGACGTTCCCGTCCTGTTGCTAAAACAGATTAGTATCAAAGTAGTGAATGGTAGTACAGAGTTTTTCTTGAAAGGAATGAATGCGCAATAGCATAACGAAGTGAAAAATTCCGTTAAAACAACCCGCGGATCCTGAATCCATTGCAATAGGGATACGCTGTCACAAGGTCAACACAGGGGGAATTCTATAATCTATAAGTTGATGTGCACACGTGTGCACGTGGTAGACGTGTATTTCCCTCGTCTTTCTCTCCTTTGCAGCTTTGGTACACTACGTGCCTCAGTGGCCCAGAAAATTATTTAAATTTAACGTCAGTATGTAGCGATCCCATACTGCCTACCTAAAAACAAACAAATAAGAAGCGAAGGCCAAAGCGATGTGAAATCCGGAAATGTCGTTACAGACGTCGCTGAAAGTACACATTTACACCACGTTGGCTTTAGAAAATAATAAAAAATTCGTATCTAACCTATGACGAATATTACTCTGACGTTCAGGAGTCCTTTCCCGTCAGTTTTTGCGATGGTGTCATCCATAAGGGGCACAAACTCTTCGGCAACAATTGGTTGCTCGTAGATTGGCGTTCTCGGCTGCTCCTCTTCTTGCTTTTTCTTCTTTTTTCGTCGCAGCTTTATCGGTTTTCCCTCTATGATTCGGGACAAGTCTTCTACGCCTTCAGCAAGTTCATCGTATTCGGAATCACTCTCGGCCTTTTTAACTATGTTGGAGATGAAAAGAAGAAGAAGAAAAGTCAACACTAGAAAGATGAAGTTGTCCGACTTTGAATTGAGTGTTTTCAAAATACACTAAGACCAGAGCGTATGAATAAACTATATGACACAAAAGGTGCAAACATTCTACTTAAGGATTTAAAACAAAAGTGAAGCTAGAAAGTAGCACAGGGGAAACTAACAAAATTATCGTCGTGAACGCCCAAATGTACCATTGCTTCAAAACAGGTAAAAGTAGTGGCCCTTCGCTTGGTCTCCTGATCTCTGCAGAATACTCTTTACTCCAGCGATATCAACAACACCTTCTTCTGCGATGTTTAATTTAACTCAAATGTCCCTATGCCAGGTCTTAGCAAAAAGCTCTACGTACGCCCTTTAGTAGTGTATTTCGGGTCGACGTGTGGGTTTGCAATTTAACGCGATGGCAATAAAACGAAAAGGAAACAGTTTAAGGTATCATTCTGTTAGAAACAATATAACAGGTGGATACCAAGGAACGAAAAAAAAAACTGTTACAGCGAACTTAACCAACGGGACGAAACATGAACCGGATACTTGATACAGGAATCTTAGCACCAGGCAGGAGGGCCTGAAAAGACGCCGTACAGGGACTAAAAATAATTTTCGTTAAATAACTCCTCTGATCCAAAGTTAACTGCGATATTTAGCATGTGGTAGCGATTTTTCGCCTCACAAAACAACACTTCACATTAAAAATTCTTAAGTTTGTTTATCCCATTTAATTTTACTTCCGCCAAGTAAAAGGTGTTTGAATAATTAAACAGCCACGTTTACAGTCTACAACGTTAACGTAACTTCTTGAAAAATGCAAAGTTCTCGGCATAATGGAAGCAAAGCACGACGCTGATGATAGCAATAGCCTTTCTGTATAATGTAACTTATCTACTGTGCATTTTTTGCCGCGATTAAGCGAGAGGTTTTAGTCCTTGGAGAGATCTGTGTTAATGCAAATCCTTGCCTTTCTTTCTCTTCCGTCTTTCAAGCTTTGGGAGATCTCCGAAGATGGCACATACATCAGTAAAAACCTCGTCCACAGAGCGTGTGGCGTCCACCTTTGAAACAACACAACAAAATCTAATGACTAACCTTAAATATTGAGGCCAGCTTTATTTAACTATATCACCCAACATTGTTGAACGCGTTCAAAGGTGTTAAATCGCGTTGAAAGTCAGTTCAAACAGATCAAATTAAACTGCTGTAAGCTTTCACTGGACACAGCTTCATCATTTTGTCAACGTTTCCTTGATGAATGTTTAGCCGCAAACGTTCAAATTGCTTAAAAGGGCTCTCTAAGATGGAAACATTATGACGGCACATAGAAAATTTTAGGACGATACGAAGTCGCCATACAAAAGGGAACAAGATGCATGTGGGCGTAAGAACAACAACGGAGGTTTGGTAAGCCCAAAAGGAAGAACGATGCAATGTCGACAAGAAAGTCCATATATTCTTTATATGGATAAAAGTGAGAAAATCTAAAAGGATTCAAGCAGAAAGAATGGCTGAATGTTCTCATTCCAGAACAGCACTAAAACATGAAAGACAATCGGAAAGCGTGTGAGATCTTCAAAAAACGAGGATCAATATACAAGTAATTCCAAGACGAAGGAAAACAATGCTATTTACGGTACGTACTTTTTTTAATTTGTTTTTCTCTCCATAACTTTCTATAACTGGTAGGGTTTCTTCCACAAAAGTACTGAATCGTTTTTTTATCGTTTCAGCATTATCGTCCATCCTTCCACTTGTCTCTCCGCGCTTGATAAGTCTCTCTTCCATAACTTCTTCGCTGCACTCGAAATACAAGACAAAATGGCACTCTGTCACCTACAAAACATGAAATCAAATCAAATACTGTATCAATTATTGTACTTTCTTAAATCTAGCTCGTGATTGAATAATTATACCATAAAACCAATAAAAAATTCCAGCCGTGAGCAGCTAATTGAGACACTAGGCCTCAAGCATGGTTGTGTAAGAGTAGAAATTTAGCCTCGCTTCAGAATTGAAAACCTGCAAAGTTTCACAATTGTGAATTCCAGGTGCAGTACGCAAAGAATCTATATTCACAAAGGCGGTTTGGAGGTGAAATGATTGAAGGAGGACAAGCCTGACGCAGGGATCAAACTGAACTTGCAGTTGTTACGGGTGGTGTTATCGGGCTGGAGAAATTTTAGCTCGGTCACTTCTTTCTTCTGACTGGTCAAAATGTGAAAAATATCACGATAACAACTTAAACGTATAAGCCTAACAAGCAAAAACATAAAGTGAAAAAAGATGCTTGCATGTTCTCTTGAAACGTAATGGTATGAGAAGGTTTTTTTCTAGTCGCTTGTTTACGTGTCCGATCAAAATGACCGGCCGAACATTGTCCAGACAAATGGTCATTTTGACCAACCGTTATTTTAAGCCCTGTGACGTAAACATGAATACGAGCTATTGGGATGGATTTTGAAGAAAAGAAGGCTTGATGATTTCTTTGTTGCTGATGCTTGTAGGTGTTAAAGAAAACAATACTAGCCTCTTCTTCAAACTGTTCTCCTTGGGAAAGCTTCCGCGGGAACCCATCGATCAGGAATCCAGGCGAGTCAGGATGGCGCAGCATGGCATCTGTCAGAAGCTCTATAACCACACCCTGGAAGTCATAAAACGGGGAAAAAGAGATTAGTAAGAGGGCTTGTGATATCTGACAGAATAAAACGAGTACAGCGGGTAGTCTGTAACGTTCAAGCATTTTTGCTACCTGCACAGGATTATTCCATGTACGATGAACCCAATGCAACAGGAACTCGTTTAACACAGCAATAACAACCATACCTGGGGAACTAGTTGGCCCTGCTCCATTAACTCAGCGATCTTTTGTCCTCTTTCGCTGCCATTCTCGACCTCTGCTCTGAGTAAATCACCGGTTGAAAGGTGAGTGTAGCCAAACTTTTGCACGATACGCTTGCACTGGGTTCCCTTACCAGAGCCAGGGCCACCTAAATTTAAAACAATGGTAATCATAAGTTAAAAGTTAGTCATTGCAAGGTAAGGACTGTTTTGTTTTTACGGCATAATTACTACAATACGAGCACACTCGCTCCTGAAATAAACTTACAGCGAAACAAATAGCTGAGCGTCCTAAAGTAAGGAAAAGATTCGAGGACTACGTTGTTGGACCTCGTAAATGTTCAAAGTTAGTCTAGTTATGAACGATTTGATCCGTTACCTAACACAAACACTATCCGTTGCCCAGAAAACTCGATCCACTCTTCTTCCTCTTCATCTCCCTTTTCCTTGGCCTCAGCTTTCTTTTTCTTTCTCTTAATTTTCTTCACCTCTTTTGGAGGAAGAGCACCGAACAGTGAGCGCACGTCTGCAAATACTTCATCCACGCCACGATTAGCGTCGATCTGGAACAAAAAAAGAGAAGACCGTTATAGAACAACTCGTATTATACTAAATATTTAGCAAGACGAGATTGAACTTGCCTGTGTATAGCCACCCCTCCCCTCAATAAAATCGGGCGAGGAGGCAACTGCACTGAGGCTATATTGCACACCGCGCATTAATTTGTTACCACACAAACCATATCTGTAACAGGAATCTCATGGAGCAAAAAGGGTTTTCTTGGTATTCAAAGACTACAGCTAGAGTCATTTAAAAGTTGCCTGCGTGCAGACGTCTCCTATTTCCTCCAATTAACCAAAATTACTAAACGGGAAAATTACACGTATTGTCGGATTATTCGTCGCTATGAGTTTCATGCGTTACTGTTGCCCCCATTTTTGTCACTTTAATGAATTCCCCCGGAACTGTCATTTTTAGCGGCTTACTAAAGAACGTTTTGTAGTCTGCAGACGGTTCATTCTCGGCTATTCTCTTGGAATACCAAGTTAAAGTAATGCAAAAGAGACAAACGTTTATTATACATTCCTACCGATGCTACCAAAAATAACACAAAGAATTCTATACCAATGCGAAACTTACCCTTTTGACTTTGTTAAGTTCTTCGTAATGATCAATGACAGGTAACGTCTTTTCAACGAACGTTTTAAATCGCTTCTTAATCGTTTCAATGTTATCATCGGCACGCTGGCTTGTTTCACTACGTTTTAGTAATCGCTCCTCCATAACCTCTTCAGTGCACTCAAAGAAGAGTAAGAAATCACTTTCCACGACCTGTTGACACAACAAACGCAAAAAAGCAACAAAACAACTTTAAAATTTCATACATTTCGGGTCGCCCGGGAGGGTTTGTTTTCACGTTAGCCGTATACATTACGTAGCAGGTGCACATCATGAAACCTTTTGTTTGCCAATCAGATGAAAACAAAAGCACGAGCAAGGGGAGGGGAGGGAAGGGAAGTGAAAGGAGACAGAAAGGGATCCTTGACCCTCCCTCTTTTCTCTCCTCTTCCCTCCTTTCGTCCTTCTTTTCAAAAAGAAAACTGTTCAGTAAACTGCTTGCAGTCCGCCTTTTCTTTTAAAATCCGTTCCGTTCTTATCCCAGTCAGCATTTATCGCAGCATGAGGGCTTCACCGCTTGCCGTTCGCGTGGATGGGTTATAGGTCTTTGCAAAGAAAAGAAGACACTGCTCGCAGTCTAACTACTCAGAGGCTGGCTAAACACACTATAACACTAAACAGACCCTTAGACTCTATGATTAAAGAATATGGATTGAGCGTCTTACAATTCAATATTTGAACAGCTAAAAGCACCTTGAGGCACCTTCACCCTCCCGGGAAAATACCTTATGTTAGGAAACAGAAGCACATAACCCCGATCGGGGTTATATGCTTCTGTAGGAAATTAACGTGAAGTTAAAAAATTTGCGTTGATTTAAATTGCGCCATGTTTGTAAAGGTCTATTCCCGCGACCTTAGTATCCATCATTTTGGCCCCAAGTCTTCATACACTCCAGATATTGTTGGCACCAGGAGAGAGCAGTTTATTTCATTAGGGTGGAGATCCGCTAGTATCAGTGAAACTGAGAAGAATGCACGAAGTGACCAGATTCCTTTCCTTTAATATTCCTGTACGTGTAAAAAAGTACCCCGAATAGTGCTTACATTTCGGATTATACACTTAAATTTGTCCCGGTTGTCTCAACAAGTTTTGTCTCTTTCTGTAGTTCGCGTCGATTTCCTTCAATTTGAAATGTTACACGTACCCTCTCTTTCGCGTTTATTTTCTTTATTTGAAAGTACTTTTCCCTCTAATTGGTGTGAATTTAAGTCGCGTAAAATTCAAAAACCTTTATTAAAACAAGCGTTTATTTGCTTTATAAGGTAAAAAGATTCTAAAAATGCACTATACAACGGGCATTTTTTGTCACCTTCCCTTCCCTCCCTTCCTTTCTCCTGTCCACCCACCCCCACCCAACCCATGCATCAATTCATAAGGTGATACTAACCTCTTGTTCAAACTGTATCCCCTGTTGATTTTCTCGAGGAAACCCATCAATAAGGAATCCAGGACACTCCTTGTGTTGTCTCATAGCATCTCTTAACAACTCAATGGTAATTTCCTGTGAAGATGGATCCCAACAAAAAATTATGTCATAAATTCAGACCTACTTAGAAACTTCTTGGAGTTAAAATTAAGCCAAGAAGGTGTGGACATTTGTTAAGGCAGTGCTCATTGTTTTTCTTTGTTACAATTCAGTGCAGTCAATGAAAGCTCAATACAATTAAGTCTATAATTATTGGTTACAATTAGCCTATAATTATTATCAGTTACAACACTCAACCTTACATTAAAAAAGATAACTATTTTTACAAAGGAAAAAATGGCAAGAAAAAAATAACAAAGACAAAGTCCCTGAAGAGACAACAATAGCAATCACAGTAAGGCTGCCTGCCTTTTGGTCCTCCCTCCCCCATGCGCCCATCATTGTTAAGGGTCATCAAAGTGTAAAGCTAGAGGCGACACCATAAATGTTTGTGAGATGTTACAGATGAATCTTTATTTGCTGATTCAAAACTTGATGACAACCTTGACAACTACAAAAACGTTACAGCGATCTACATGCTTAATGTTACCTGCGGTACAAGATTTCCCTCCTTCATAATATTTTCAATCATTTGTCCCCTTTCATTTCCCTTGGCCACTTCTTGTCTCAAAAGATCTCCAGCAGATAGGTGTACATAACCAAATTCTTCAACAATTTTAGCACACTGGGTCCCCTTGCCTGATCCTGGTCCACCTGTGGTGTTCACATAAAGTGTTCAAGGATGAATGATTGACTGTTTATCATTTAGGCTGCAGCACTTTTTAGTAGCTTAATAATGAAGCATTATAATTTATATTATTATTTGTCAAACTCTCCTCTGTATGGGTCTCCCCATGGAATTGAAGTTGCAATGTTCGCTGTTGATGCAACGATGATGTTAGGGATTCAAGCGACAAACTGCATTGCTATTTCAATTAAGTTTGATGATGTAAGTTGTACAATGCTGACAGAGAGATCTGCCACAAAGTGTACTGAAAAGTGTAGTGTACATTAAGAGTTTTTGTTTTGTGTGATGAAATCTTAGTCTACAGATACCCATAAATTATGCCTAGGGAATCTCCTGGTCTCCAGTATGAGTAAGGCCCGGTTCAGAAGCCAATCTTTTCATGAACCCAACCTAATACATTAAAAAGTACATGAAAGTACATGAAAAGTTTGCCATCAGAATCAATTAGGAACGCCTGTTTCAATATGGAACAGCTCGGCCGTTCTTCATGCCTAGCCTGGGAATTTTGACTGTGGAATGACTTTGGAACAGTTTTGATTCAGACACAGAATGTTTCATGTAATGAACCTAAAGCATAAATTCTTATAACGTATTTTGCAAGCAGTTTCACCAAAATGAACATTTTTCTCCTTTTTAATTTAGTTTGGCTGGAATTAAGATCGGCGTCTGAATCAATTCAGGCAGTCTAAATAGTTTGTGTCGGCCTTAATTCGAATTAGGTTCGGCTCATGAAAAGTTCCGCGTCTGAACCGGGCCCAACTTAACTATATTTTCCTTTTACTCCTGTTTTTTTTTTAAGAGTACAAGAATCAAAGGAGTACATGAATAAGTTGACTTCAATCTTGCATCAAGGAAAAAGACCCTAAACAGAAAGAAATATGTAGGTCCCTGTACCCTGTACATGACATGTCCCCATCCCCACAAAACTTTTCTATTTTGCAAACAATAATTTGTTTAAGATGAAACTGATAAAGCCCTCTGCGTTATAGAAATATGTTCAACCACCTTTAAAAATGAAACCTGTTTGGAATAATCAGTTCAATTTTTTTATACCTGATGCTTCTCGGAAAATTAAAATTAAACCCCTAAAGGAGACCAGTGTAGGTGTAGCTCAAGTTTAAACTGACCCCTAAAGGAGACCATACTGAAACAGACGAGTAAGGGATCTAAATAAATGCGAAGAATGTTGTCTTCTTTATTTATAAAAGTTAGATTTCTGTGAGAGAAGTGTCATATAGCATTTCTTGTACATTTTTTTACGCAGAGACCTAAGCGATACCTGAATGGGCAAATATAATGTCTTTTCATGCTAAAGACAAAAATCTGCAATTTACAGACCCTTTTATATGGTGTCCCCCCCCCCCGGTAATTAGCATAACCTTACAATACTTTACACTTACCAAGAACAAACACGATCCTCTGCCCTGAAAATTCTACTTCCAACTCCTCCTCTGATTCTGATGTTAAAATATTCGTTTCTGTCAAGTCCTTCTCATCATCATCAATGGATGGACGCTGCCCACTGATCGGTGGAAGAGGTTGTCTTGTTTTCAATTCTGGTTCAGTTGTAAAAGTGCGTACCTCATGTCCAGCCTCAGATTTAATGGGTCCATCAGTTTTTGGGATGGGCGGTAATGGCTTTTTGCTGACATCAAGGAAAGTGTTCCACTTGATGTCTTTTTCGGTTTTTGCGAGGGAGATGCAATTTTCCAGAAAAGCTAAATGATCCTCTGGCTTATGGTAAAGTAGGCCAGTCAGCATCCCCTGCAGAAAATAAAGATCAAGATTTTTTAGTCTGTTGAAAAAAAAAATCATTGACATAATTAAAAAACTCCGACACTTAGAAATAACAGATGTCATGGAAAATTTAACAATTAATTCTTATCAATTTCATTGGCCTCTTAAAAGGTCAATTCTTTCAATTCTTTCGTTCAGATCAAAAGCAAAAGAAACATATTATAAGTAATGCACTTAGGATTTTAACAAATTTCAATTATAAACACAACAATTATCGTTCGCACCTGGCAGGCTGGCACACGTACGTCAATCAATTTGTTTGTTTGTCGCTATATTGATATTCCATTTGAAAGTAAACATGCAGGTGAGAGCTTTTAAAAAAACATCCGCAGAAAAGGTCTAATGAAACGAGGCTGCTCGGTTCGGTGCAATAAAGTTACAGAAAGAAAATCCCTCATTTATTTAGTCATTGAAATATTGGGCAAACATCATGTTACAGTGGTGTAAGCAATTGTAACTCATAAGCTTACATATGTTTGAAAAATTTATGTATTGCGCTAATTTAAATAAACATTACAATTAACTTCAGTTGAATCTTGTCCTTTTAAGTTAGCTTTCTTTTTCCATTTCCTCGAGGTAACAGGATATGTATTTTTTTCGCATCTGAAATTGTTAAAAGATGCACCTTACTTCGATTCTATAACCTTAAACTTAAAGCTTATCTCTCGATCGCCTTTGGTTGCTGCGCCCCACAAAGGGGCTACAACAACGTACATCATACATCCAAACTTGATGAAGGGAGTAAAATTTTCAAAACTACCAAATAGTTTATAAACTGGAGGACAAAGTCTACAAATTTCATTTTAAAAATATCATAGAAGCGGTCTTCATATCCATTAGTCACTGTTAATTATTGGTGACTGTTATCATGCGGGAATCTCTCAAATTGGAGCTGTTTCGCACTCCGTGGCACAGATTACACATAAGTGATTCTCCGATATCATACCTCAAAAAGCTGATGAACCTCTGTTTTCGCCATGTAATCTTTACTCTCCTCGGCAGTCATGATCTGTACTTATTTATGAATGTTTACATTCAGAGGCGAACAAATTGGACATCCTTCGAAGCTTGCAACACTTTGAGCGAACTGGTTCCATCGTTGCTATGACAACATGATAATTCAGTTCGTCAAAATTCGTCAATGATCGGAAACAATCGGAAAATCCAACAACATTTTCCACTGAGTGGCAGTCGTAAAAAATAAAACTGAAACATTACCAACGTTATTGACGGCTTCCCACTCTTCTAATATCAATGCATATTCAACTTTCTACAAATTTTTGAAAAACTGACAAAAAAAATCAACAAAAGTTTCTCGCATGCCGAGCTCGCATCACGCAGTACATCACGCCTCGTAGCATAGAGATACCCATGAAACCTTTCGGTATTTGTAAAACCAAGATGGCGGCAAAATGTGTGCTGCTGACAGTTGTGATAGCCTTGTTGTTTCAGTCCATGCCAGCAAAAATGGAGAAATCTTTCGATAAATTCTTGAAGAGTGATCACACAAACAATTGGGCAGTATTGGTAAGAGAAACGAATATAAAACGATCACTGACAGTAGAGTTTACGTAGGGGAAGCGAACATGCTGGATCGCATTTAAGACTCTTTATTTTTAGGTTTGCACGTCTCGGTTCTGGTTCAACTATCGCCATGTAGCTAACGTTCTGTCCATTTATAGAAGTGTCAAAAGACTTGGAATCCCCGATAGGTAGGTACATTATTTCTAAAAAACAAGAAATGTAATACACACAAACAAACAAAAATTGAAAGTGTAGGATTTTAAACATTGGGATTAACTGTACAACCTACACTTTGCTACTGAAAAACCGTGGCTGCGTGGTATGTTGTATACAGATAATTATAGAATCAATAATAGAAACGTCGCAAAACTGGGGTGACTCAAAAACTCAGACCTCCGACCCTGAAAAACTCAGACCCCAGGATGTCTCGACAACACGGACACTCAATTCAATTCTAAGTGGGGTCTGAGTTCTGAGTTTTTGTGACACCCCTTAAAACTGCTTTGCTGGAAATGAGAGCCCAGTCTCATGCAGTCCCATATCATGTGATCAGTTTAAAATAATGCTTCACTGACCAGCATATCTTTATCAGCCTCCAAGTGAAGTATTTGTAAGGGGATTCAAACAAGGTCTGTAGAAAGCAACCATAAGAAAAGCCAGTGGCGGCTACAAGTACACCTGTGCTAGTTGTAGCAAGATAGTTTTTTTCATACATCTTGGCAATATGCCTGAAAAATGGTATTATGATATTGTCTTTGATGGTTAGTATAAATTAATTTTCATTCTTCAATAATGACTGTCTTTTCACTTTCATATTCACACAGTCACATTATTGTTATGCTTGCCGATGATATGGCCTGTAATGCCCGCAATCCAAGACCAGGTGAGTCTTTAGTTTTTCCTACGCTGTTTGTGTCACCTTTAATAAGTCTAATTATGATTTTTCAAAGAAATTACATGTAGGAGGTGCAGGAAGTTGTGATACACCATTAGTGATACTTTTCCTTACAAAGGATTTAAACCTCTATGTTTCCCTGACTTATGTAAGCAGAAATCCACCAAGGTCCCCCTTACAAGAACTTGTTTCTCAGCTATAAAGTTCTCACAGGGAAAATAACATTCCAGATTCGCCATTTTCACCTAGTGACTGCAGTTCCTGTTACAGATTTTCTAAAATCTAAAGCCATAGTAGAAGTATATAGCATCCTTCAAGCTTGCCAATCCTGTTTTGTACTGACGAGTTCACTCTCTGAAGATGACTACCGCACAGGTTGTTGAAACGTCAGTCACTGTCAACAACAGTCCTATGTGGAATTAGGACTATGTTCACCTGGATAATCTTGCTAAACTTACATGTACTTATGAAATGACTCCTTGGTTCAAACCTTTCACACTTCTCAATGTTTAAAAATATTATCCATAATAAATTAAGAAACTTTACACTTACGACAGTACCTATAGGATTTATATTTTCAAAATCTGTTGACGGAAAAGGTTTGTGATTTCATGGGCATCATTTTGATGGCCCACATGTCATTTCTAGAAAAGTGATGAACAGGCCTTTTGCAGCAGTTGGTCATGCAATCAACTTTCTGTAAACAAGAGAACAGCTCTTAGCAGCAGCTTAGCATCAACTGAAAGAGCATATAAAATTAAGAAACCTGTAAGTTTTCTGCTGTATATCTCCAAAATAGTGATTACTATGGCTGGTAAAGATTAGAAGGATTTGTATGGGAAAAACAACTCTAACCACCCAGTCACAGTTGAGTGGTTTTGCATAAAAATCCTTGTAGTATTTAAACTTTTGTAAAATCTTTCCTTAAGCATCACAGGGCTCAAATTTTCTTGTGTTCACAACAAACAATATTAGCCCTCTAAGATGTAAGGGAAAGATTTAAGGATGATCTGAAAATTTTCTCTCACCTTGGCAACAGCCATTTTGTTGGAACTCAATTGCTCTCAAATATTGTAACAGATCCCAGTGATCTTGAGTCACAGCTTTGTATTTCCACGTGCTTTATTGAATTGTTTTGTCAGACAGGCATAGCTGTTTTGCACAATCATGTTCAATTGGACAGGGTCATTGGATACTTCTACTTAGCCTGTTTAATGTATACTTATTACTGACATAATTGCACAATATTTTTTAACTTAAATAAGCTCTCTAAAATTCTCAGACATAGAAATTTTGGACAGTTTTCTTTTGTCTGAATTAAAATCGTCTGCGATTTTAGGGGTTTAACATAATTATACAGAAACTCAATCATTTCATTCCCCTGTCATTCACAGGCACAGTGTTTAACAATGCTAATCAGCATATCAATGTCTACGGTGATGACATTGAAGTGGATTACAGAGGATACGAGGTACACTTTAACAGATCCCTTGGGTGCAAGTGCCATATAAGGCATACCATTGTTGCCTTTTTACTGTACCTTGATGTATTCTATGTAGCTTTATTGCTCCACCTGCTCCCTTCCACACCTACAACATGGATACCATACCTATTCAGCTCTGCTTATCGATGTGTTATGCTTAACCTGCTTCTTATAACAGCATGTGGACTTTCAAAAATTAATTTTAGTTGGGTCATCAGTCAGGAGGGAAAATGTCGCTGAAGCAAGTCAAGTCCAGTCTGGGCAAGTTTATCCAGCATGCTATGGCCAGCTTTAAGGATCTAATATGGGATACTCAAGGCTATTCATCATGACATCATAGTCCTGTTGTAGGTTTAAAAAATGCAGCCCGGGGGAAATTAAAATATCGCACCATTGTCATGTGAGAAACTTACTTTAAGTAACAATGAATCCAAAAAGGAAAGAAAAGGAAAGACAGGTTCCCCATTTACCATGTCAGTACCAATAAAGAATTTTGCATTGATACCGGTAATTACAATTATGTCAAAATCCTGTGCTCCACCTGTCTACCTTTTGGTGTAGTAATTTTTTTGTGTCGTGAAGATTTTGAAACACTTAAAATTTTACCTTCTTTGCCTAGCATTGTAACCATAATTAAAGGCAAAAAGTAAAATTAATTCTCTGAAACCTTTTGTTACAGGTTACAGTGGAAAACTTCATCAGAATCTTGACAGGTAAAACCAAGAAAAAAAATATGATTTGTTTTCTACTTTCCTTTTTCAATTTTCCAAGGTGACTTCCCACCCTGTACCATTAACTATTATAAAGTTGCATAGTCTTTTTGCCTCTCAGTGGAAATTGTGATCACTTGATATTTTCCATATTTTTATACAACAGGTCGTCTTCCATCCAGTGTTCCAAGATCCAAGCGATTACTCTCTGATGAAAGAAGCAACATTCTCGTCTACATGACAGGTTTGTTTAACATGATTAAGTTTCCTATGAAAACTCAAAGGCGGGGAAGGAATATCTTAATTGTAATGCTGCTGTTTTTCCTTCTTCCTTGTAGGCCATGGGGGTGATGGGTTTCTTAAGTTTCAAGATTCTGAGGAGATTACAAGCATAGAGTTGGCTGATGCCTTTGAGCAAATGTGGCAAAAACGACGGTAGGTGTGGCAGTAACAATGTCAGACCTCAAGGAAAAGGACCCAGGAGTGTAGGACCCTCTCTAGCCTAGCCTGAGAGAAAGGCAAACATTTCACGATGCTGGTCTCCTCGCGAATGACATCTGAGGGCCATACTGATGTTGGTCACTACCCAGATCTGGGTAATACTTCTGATTGATTGTGCCTTGCGGGGAATTGGGTTTGACCAATCTGCAGTCATTCCTCAGATGTTATTTCGTGTGGAAACAAGTAGTGTGGTTGTAAATGTGTGCTGTTTTGTCAGGCTCTCTCTGTCCTAGACTAGGTATCTCAATACCCACCCTTCAATCTGCTACTGAGTAATCCATTGAGCTGCTTGGTATGCGTCTGTAGTCCCTCATTTTTAATCCCTCTATTTTTGGATCATTGCAGGTATAATGAGGTGTTCTTGATCGTGGACACCTGCCAAGCATACTCCATGACACTGAAGCTTTACTCACCAAACATTCTGGGCGTTGGCAGCAGTTTAGTTGGAGAAGATTCCCTTTCTGTGAGTTCATCTTTGTGTACAGGGACCCTAATTAAATTCAGGATGACTGTTCCTTCTTGGACTGGAACCCAGGATCTCAGCTTCAAAGAATGATACTTAAAACCGTGATTTCCAGCTTGTCTTTTGGTCCAGCAGCTCTCGCATTAATGTATTTGCCCAGGCCGACTTCTTGCTGGTCGTAGTCAATGATTTTGTTGGAGGGTAACTTCCTGAACCCTTGCCCTTTGGGCAGCAAGTAAGCTTTAAAAGCTACCTGCCCAGCAAGAAAATCTACTTGTCCCGAACGACAGAATGGGATTTTTTACGAGCCCTACTTTGACACTGAATTCACGTTTTCTTTCTCTTGGCAAATGTATTTATACAAAGTTTGGATAGGAAAGTTGTTGTGTTTACTGTTTTCTTTTCATCATCATCTATTTTTTAGCATCATGAAGACCCAGCCATTGGAGTTCACGTGATAGACAGGTACACGTATTACGTTCTTCAGTTTCTAGAAGGCGTCACTCCTAACAGCAAGGCCACCGTGGGAGATTTGGTAAATACATTTGATATTTCTTATGTACTAACATCATCATCATTATAAAGTAGCTGTGTTGTTTTAAGCTGTTTTCAGTAGTACTATGGACTGACTCAGAATTCGGCTTTCTTGGCGAAGATTTTTTTGCTAACCACTCTCTCAAGAGTGGTGTGTCTCCAACTGAGAGTGAGCTAAAACTGTGAAGCGTTTCTTTCTCGAGCTGAATTGAATTCACATTCAGTACAAGATGATGTGTTAAGATGTATATATGTAAAGTTGCTACCCAAACTGTCATGGTCATTGTCTGTAGCATCATCATGATTGAGTGCAAGTGTGTTTAAGACACCAAGCTATCAACAATACCATTAAGAGTAAGAACTTCCTTGGGTGGCAGGATTTGATTATTCAGCTTGCGTTAATGACACGTTGAGGCACGGTGGTCAATTTTAAATCACAGTTTTTTCCTCCTACCTTGTGTGTATACACGTTGCAAGAGGGTAACCCTGGAATGGACTAGCATTTAATGCTGCATAAACCAAACTAAACTCAATGGTCGTGTTTAACGATGATTATACCTTAGCACATACATGCAGTTAATACAGAACTAGTGTAACGTACGAGCTTACCAAAGTGTTCTTTGTTCTTGTAGTTCAGTTACACTACGCCAAATTTAGTGATATCTACACCAGGAGTGAGATCTGACTTATTCAAAAGGGACCCAAAAAAGGTAAAACGTATAAAACATTTCTAACATGATTCCATAACGTGATCGGATATTAAAGGTATGAATTAGATTTTCTTCTTTGACAGGTGTCTAAGTCTGATTGAGTAAGCGATATGTACAATCATGGACAAAAGTCTTCGGACACTTAAGCATTTCTGGGGCGTTTTCCAGTTCACATACCTGTGCCGAACCCCTCCGTTCAACCCAGAATTTTTGCGAGTTTCATCTTTGTTTTGGGTGGAGTGAGGGAGCGCTGTAAGAAAATTTCGAAAAAGATACAAGTGTTTTATGAAGGAACCCAGAAATTACAGAAAATCATGTAATGTATCAAGCATGAGACGCAGTGTTTCATCACCAGATGAAACACCGTGAACAGAGTTAAAAATGCGACGCGCAGCGGAGTATTTTTGACGAACTTCGAGGTGATTCATCTGGTGATGAAACACTGTGTCGAATACTTGATAATCATATTACTTCTTAAAAAAATAATTTTAGAAGAAGAAATTAAGGATGCAAAAATGACCAGTTTTTCATCTGATTTCCAATCACTCATTGAACATTAATGCTCTTTGTGTTTTGTCTATGAATTATGAATGAGTTGGAGAAGAATACTGCATTACTGTCCCAGGTACTTTTGTCTATGGTTGTAGTTGTGGTGACAGATATAAAGTTTCCTCTTTTCTTTTTTTAAGGTATTGGTGACCGACTTCTTTGGCAGCGTTCACAGCGTTGAGATATCAAATTCCTCGGCTTCTGATGTCCAGCAGGAATCTCTATGCAGGTACATCTTCTGTCACACGGAGAAACAGCTTTGAGGGATTCAAAAAGGATTCTAGCCACAATCAAGCTTCACCGAGTATAGAGGCAACTACGCATAGCCACGACTCAGAGATTCGAAAGTTGAACTTTTAGGCGACAAATAACCCGCCGCAGGGTTAGTTGAGTTGGTTGAGCACTGGCCCGCCTATTGGGAGATTGCTTTGCAGTCTCCGGGTCGTCTCAGTACTCAAGGCTTTAAAATATCTGAGCAGGCCCAGCCTTTGCCTTACGACGCCCGTGCTCCATATATTTTGACTCAAATAAAGGCGCGTTTCTCATAAAGCACTTTTAAAAGTCAGGTTAAATGGTAAAATCAAGAACTAAAGGCTGTCCCAAGTTAATTAACTTGAAATATTTTTCTCTTTGCAGAGGAGACGGTTGCCCGGCTCCCGTAAGAAACAAAAGTCCTAAAACAGCAGAGAAACGTGTTTTGCGCGAGCAGTTTCCCACCACAGCAAAAAAGGTATCATTCATCATTCTAACGAGTTTAACGTAGATTATCTCTGTAGCTCTGGTTTGATCCCGATTTCTGTGTCTGTGACTTTGGGACATAAAATACGTGGCGTCACATCAGTAGCATAGGTGAGCTTCTTTGAGCCTCCTGTTTGCGGTGGAATCTCATAGGTGAAGGGAAACCACAGTAATGTTGTGGTGTTAGTGGTGGAAAACAATAGCATTTTGGTGGTGTCGGTGTTAAAGGAAAACCATAGGAATTGGTTGTTGATCGTGGTGTTGAAACTACAGTAAAAAATGTTGTGGTGGTGGAGGAACGAAAAGAATGGGAGTGCGGAGGTGAGATGGATAAAAGGTGTTTCAGGAAAAAAGAGACTACTGTGTTGAAAGAGCTATGGTTTTCAAATGTTTAATCGCCAAGAATTGATGAACCGTAACCATGAAAAGTAAGCAAGAGATAAAACCTACGCAAGAATCTTTATAGATCTATGGGTTTGTGTTTGGTTACCATCCGAACTGCTTTTCGAAACAATTCAACCAAAAACTATGACAATTATATCTATGTCAAAGCGCCAAACGTTTTGTGTTAAGAATACTTAGATCAGAATTGACCACGAGTGTAAGAGTTTTGTGCAACCAGTTCCAGTCCAGTCAACGGAACAATACCCCGCGTCCATGAAAATTAATTAGTTACAAAGGCATTTAACGGCGTTAATTTACTTCTTTTTTACAGTCAGAGAAGGTGGAATGGAAATTTCCGGTTGAGTTTCTGGTATCTGTTGCGGTGTTTGTGGTATTGATTGGCGTGGCCTCCCTGCGATAAACATACTGCAGTACTGAAGACGTCATAAAGAAATCAATGTGACGTAAGCTCTTTGCGCTAACAGACACAAGTCTGTTGTCAGGAGGGCTACGTGAGTGACGGTAACGAGGCGGATAGAAGAGTCAGTGTTACACATGATGACAGTAACTTGTGGCGAGGCACACATTGGAGCTTATTATGCGAGTTGTGAGCCAATGAAACGAAAGCTCAACAAGGGATGTACGTACCAAGATGAATGGACAATAACCACCCAATATTAAAGGGAACCTCCACTCTTACTACAGAATAAGTTTAAATCGAATAAAATTGTGTTGATAAACAAATTTGTTCGAAATTTGTCTTTAAAAAAGTGTTTATATCAGGAAAAGTGAATTTTAAAATCGCTTATTTTCACTTTCAAATTTCGCGGGCGCCGCCATCTTGAATAATTGTGACGTGTTACGGTTGCTCTATTATTCTGACACAAAGAGCTTTTGTTTAATAACAATAGGGCAACCATTACACGTCACAATTATTCAAGATGGCGACGCCCGCAAAATTTGAAAACAAAAATAGGCGAATCTAAAAGTTATTTCTTTCGGATACAAACGCTTTCTTTAAAAATATTTTAGATTGACTTGACTGTAACTGTTATTTCCTGTGATTTAAAGTTATCTTTTTGTTGAAGTGGAGGTTCCCTTTAAATATTGTATGACGTTTTGCCCTCTTGGTCTTTCAGTGGCCTCCGAAACAATGTAATATGGTTCCTATGAGTGCCGTTAGTTCTTGAAGGACAGCTGTTATAAAGACAAAGCTTATTCGAATAAATATAAATTCTAAGCAACTGCTTTCAGTTTCTCATTGAGGCAGAAAAAGTGATCACAATCTTATAGTAAATTCTTCCCTTGCGCTTCTTTAACTAGTTCGTGTTAACCTTCGAGTTTATAATTGATGTTGAAACTGTTCAGTATATAAAGGTTAAGTTTCTTTAAGATAATGCGGTTTCAGAATGTGGTTAGTTTACGCTAGCAAGAATCAAATTTGAAATAAAACTCGATTCTTTGTAAGCCTCCGCTTCATTCCCTAGATTCTCTGTGAAGCGCCTCGATTTGTCGACTGGAATTTAATCCACCAGTTGATAACAGTCCGCAACCCATCCGCAGTATCACAGTATTCGTTCAAAGGAGCACTATCAGTGCCGTTAGCCAGACCAGTGGCCTAAGGTGCCTAAAGACTTGACCAGTTACCGGCTCCCCTCAGTTGATGACGATTCATGGTTCTGATGGCGAACACTACTGCAACGGCGCTATTCATGTACCGTTCACGACAAGCCTTATTTCCCTTCTTTGCTTCGACTGTTAGCGATCTCTGATATTCTGGCAACAACGCTTTCCATCATATCCAGCGAGTATAGGCCAGACTGAAGTGCCTGCAAGCAATCACATATACAGGAAATCACCAATTGCGAAATTATCCCTAATACTTTGTCTCCAACTATCACCACTGTTGTTGATAAATTCCAAGCTGATTAGGGCCGTGAACCGTACACATGAAAAATATGAATGGGGCGAACCCCATTAGCGTAGGGGCCGATAGGTGAGCACTTTCCCAGAATCTCCATGGTCGAGTTGCTCGAAGCCGGATTAGATCTAATCTTGGGTTAACTGTAAAAAGACACATGAGTTTTCATAGTAACTAAACCTAGATTTTAGGTCAGTTGTGCATTAATTGCACGATTGTGCTAATCGGCCTTTGAACAACACGACCCAGTCTTTCGCGTTTTTTTGACTCTTTCATGGGGAATATAACCACAATGTTTCCAGATGAATTTCGGAATTTCCATCTCACCTCACACTGGTCTCTTACAGGCATCATCTCCAGTGACTTGCCATCGGGACTTTTGATGTTAAATTCGATATCCTCTTTTGCTTCCTCCCCTGAAGAAAAAAAGGGCACTTGGAACTCGGTCGCTTACATTTCAACAAGTGTATGAAGTGAATAAAGTAGGCAAGAGATATCAATTCCTAAGATTGTCAGTATCTTGCTTTTTTCTGTCTCGCTAAACCAGCAGAGTCGGTGACACATAATGAAAGGGGAAGTCAAGTAGAAGTTGTTCACGCTAATGTATTCCCAGCACGCCCACCCATCCTCCTTGTTGATTTGGAGGAATAAGGAGAAGCAAACATAACCGGTTAGTACGCAGCCCTAGATACAAGAGTTCCCGAGTTCGATTCTCAGGTGTGACTTCGAATCAGACTTCTTTCCTTTCCGCGTAGTTTTAAATACCAGTAAAATGGTGCACTGGTGGAGAGAAGGGACTAAAAAGAGCGCACCGTCGGTCCACAAATTATTCAACCCCGAATTCGAGTGTAACAGTGATAGCGGCCATCGAGGGCCCTGTTAGATTCACTACTGAACGGTGTGCACGAGAAGAGCTGAGTGTCTTTCGACACGAAAAAACTAGTACACTATATGTGTACAGGTACTTCGGCGCTCCACCAGAGCCTTTTAAAATTTTTCAAGCCGTTCCTTTCCCAACTGCAAAGGTGGCGTCTATCACTGCAACAATTCTCTTTATATATTTAAATTCTCATCCCGCAGTTCTGTTGATATCTCATATTCAATATTTCAAAACACTAATTTTTTAACTTCTTCTTCATTTCTCTTTACACGTCTCAAGCTCGGCGACCGACTGAAGTTAGCATTCGTAGCAGGCGTTTCCGCCCGAGTTCGTCATGAAAGTTGGAACGAGAGCAAAAACGGGGTACCCTCCCTCTTCTTCCATTCTTGTTTCTTTGCCCTCGCGCCAACTGTCGCGCAGTAACTCGCTTCGAAACGCTTGCTACGCATGTGGGTTGATAGCTGTAAACTTGTTGCCGCCGAACTTACGTTTATTTCCGGTCATTTCATCCCGTTTGCTTAACAGTTCTGCTTGGTATTGTATTCTGGTTACTTTCAATGTTTCTCTTAAGGGATCCACGAAATTCGTCTCAATAGTTTTGAAGTTTTTCCAAGCTGTTGTCTAAAAAACAAGAAAAAAGGACACTGGTTAGCTAGTTCATATGTAGATACTGTAGTATATGTTTCGCAAAGTCCTGGTTGGTAGTAATGGGGACCCATACACTACGCTGACAGCAACCTAAGCTAACTTGTAGGGTGTTGATCTGCCGTTCGGGAAGTCAAACGACTGTGAGTTCAAGCTGGCTGTCAATACGACCTTGCCTTAGTTTGGGGAACCTTAGAAAAACGTACAACGCTGCATGAAAAGAGCAAGAGAGTGAACAGACGCGGCTATGGTATCATGGTGTCACGTGATCAACCTTTTATGGGTTGCGTAGGGGAATGGAATGATAATGGCCCACAGTAATTATTGGGCTGCCCTTCAGGCAACGCCCAATCAAAATATTGAGGCCGCCTCGTCTGTGCAGCAAAAAGACAAAATGGCAGACGGGTCAGGTTTCTCGTCCCCCTCCCCTGCGTTATTGCCAAACTTCTAATTTTTGAGGGGAAGGGGTGGGTCATTTCAGATAAAAATTATGGCAAGAAAACAAAAACAATAATGCTTGAACACCAAACAGCAAATTACTCTTAAGTTTAATGATTACGGTTAGGAAACTGAGTGAATTGAATTCCATTTTCATACAAGCGACATGAAACTTTAGAGTCCTCTTTTGTTACTGGCATGACTGGTGTTCGGCGTTGACATATCAAAGATTTGCCGGTGATCGAAATCAAATTAAAAAAATAACAAGGTGGAATACAAACTTCAGCTTCAGCTCTCGGGTCTTGGCAAACAATTTCTTACACCAAGCCCTTTGGAAGAGGACAAACAGAAACGATTCGAGGACAAAAAGTGTTCTTATTTAATTCTTTACATTTTTCGTTTTTGACCTGATTGAACCCCGTTTTTTCAATCAAGCGTGAAGCATGCATTCATACAAATATTTCAGGGGTCATTTCACATTTATGGATCTTTACGGTTGTCAGCTGGGGTACTCCCTTATGTAAGCCTTTTAGGTATGCGCCGCCCGAAAGAGCATGGTTTTTGCGCCGTTTTGGTCTGAAAAAACGGGTTTTGAATTTGCCCATTTTGGCCCTTTAGAGGTATCCTGGATACCAGAGGTTTTTCTCGCGTGTGGCGGGAATTTTTGGTGTTGGCTGTAGGCCGAAGCCACGAGCGGCGAAGCGCGGGTCACTATAAAGACTTGACAGAAACCGGAAACCGCGCTAGAAAAGCCTCTGGCACCCAGGGTACTTTAGAGGTTGCGCACGAGACTGAGTCGTTGTTGGGTCGAATTGGACTGTGGGAGACGCTATCGACTCTTTTATGGCTGTTGTTATTACTAAGTCGCGTTGGGAAACTGGGTCAAAATTCCTTCCAAAAACAGTCCCATAGTGCACTTCGACAAAAAACCGCCCGAGTGTCGCCAGCAGCCTCAAAATAACTAATAAAAATTCTTTCTCACCTTGTCGCACTTATCTCTTAGAAGAATAAACCGCAGGCAGTTAAGAGCCCCCATGATCCTGCAAACAGAAGTTAAGGTAATCACTATAAATCTCGAATAAAACAATAGCTTGGATGGAAAGAGGACCCTCGAAGAAAACTCCAGACAATCTAGTACCGTATCTACCTTCTGAAAGAGATGGATCAATTACCTATCAGTTTCTTGTACCAGGTCCTTTTCTGTCCCAGTTTTTGAGGGAAGTCTGAGAACCAGCTGAAATATCGACATAAAACGAGTTCCTTGGAACCAGGGCTCCTCTCCTGAAGACTGAAAACAAATCAGAAAATTCCTTTCAAAAATCCCTTCACACAAAGAGGCAAAAAACCGAATCTTAAAGTTTTAACGTGTTACTTACACAAAGGGCTTGGTTCACTTGTTCCTTCAGCAGATATATCAACAAACCGGCTACTCCCGCGTGACTGCAATCTTGAAGAAAGGTACTGTAAAAAATTAAAGCCTCGCATCAAATTGTGGTTCGTGTCAGATTTCACATGGCCTTTTGAAGTTGGGGTATTTTGTCGATTTTCAGCCGAGTTTTTCGTAAACCTTGAAGAGACGTAAGTCGTTCACTATAGATTACAAAAAAGGCGCAAAAATATCAGCCTGCAAGGGGGGTGTTTATATGACACCAGGGCGACTTTCGCGCCGGCGAAACTTCACCAGCACAAAATGTCATGCCAGCGCGAATCACACCGGCGTGAGTTCACCCCAGTTGTTGTACTGGAGAGAGAATTTCACTCCGGTACGAAATGTCGCAACGGTATCATGTAAACGCGGAACGCGAATTTTTTATTGTTTCACGTTAAAAAAATTCCAACGTAGCAAATGAGACGGCCATACGCGTATAAAGTACATAAATCCACCCTTTTAACAGGAACGTTCAAAAACCTCTGTAAAGAACTTTTTTACATATTTATCTCCCACCACCATTACCAGAAATTCACGAGTATTTTAAAACAGTATAAAGCACTTACTATAACAAGCCATACTGACTTTTTGTATCTAGTTTTGACACAAAATTTGGAAAAACACGAACTCCTTTTGATCTCTGCAAGAAAAGAAGTCAACATCTAAAACCTGAGACATGAATATTAATTGTACATTGCAGATGACATTGCCGAACAAAGCCGATCTCTCGGAGGACACATAAATGTAGCAAAGGGGCTCCAACAGCGCCCTTTGAGGCAATTTTCCTCTCAGCTTAATTACTAAAAGATCTCAGGATTAGCTTACAAATTACAATAACTGCTTCAATCTTAAGAGGGAAACATTAAATTTTAGATAAGTCAAAACGGAGCGAGGATAGACGCAACAGAGGGAGATTAAGACGAAATGTATTCAGATAAACTTGCGAAATAGTGGCCCGCTATTTTCAAGTTTCTCTCTTTTTTTCCCAATGAGGTGGTGGTTAAAAATGCTCGGGGTTCATCTATTTTTGTTACGTGGCGATAATTCTAACAATAAAAGGTGTTTCTTTTATCAGTTTGAGGTTCTATACTTGCAGTGAAAGAAAACAGGCAAAATGAATTAAATAAAACACGGTAAGCTACCTTACCTTGAGCTAAAAAAGAAAGAAAAACAACGGAAGAGAACATTAACTCACCAGTTTTCTTGAAGAGCACATCGTCATGACATTTATCAAGGCCTGGTGAAAAGGGAAAATACTCTTTCAGAAATTTATGGTTCTCAGTTGATTAATGATGACGACGACTCAAATCAACGTTTTTTGTCTTAATTTACGTGACAGAGTTGATCTTACACGCAAGTAGATAGTGCGCTAATCGAAGTAGGTGGCGAAAGGGGACACCAGGGAGCTTTAGTATCGACGACGGCAACGGCAGCGAAAACGTCAGCTTTAAAATGAATTCCCGTTTTTTCAGTCTTTGTCGCCTTTACTCCAGTTTGCTGAAAATGGCAAGTGTAGGCGAATTTCCCTGGAGTTGATTTCTTGAGGACCGCACTCAAGTTTAGAGGGAGAAAAAGAGATTCGTCGTCGCTTGTTTACGTCCTCCATAAAACTTGCAATTGGGCATTTTCACGTCGTAGTCGTGCAAGGACGGTAAAGAAATGTGCAAAAAAGCATGATGCACGTGCAAAGTTGTTGTTTTGCGTAATCAACCTATTGCTTTGTTGACGTCCTCGTTGCCGTCGCCGTCGCCGTCGCCGTCGTCGTTGCTAAAGCTCCCTATTTCGATGAAAAGGGCCGGGATACTTTCTTGATAAAAGTACCCTTAGAGTAAGTTACAAAGATTTCAGTAAAAAGTGAGTATTCATACAATTTGGAATTTAAGGAGCGAAATAAGACTGAGAGAAAAGAGTTTAAGCAAAACACTAGCCTGCGAATACACCAGTCTCTCATCGTTCCCGTCCCTGGGGCCTTTTCGCAAGAGACCAAAACCTAGGGGTCCCTTAAGCAAGGGTCTCAAGCGGCGGGGAGCGCTAAGAGACAGGCGTATTCGCAGGCTAAACAGTACGATCCTCGATTGTCGGTTGAATGAAGGAATGAATGAAACTTTATTTAATCCCGGGATTGATGAGGTTGGTTAGACCTCTAGCAATAATAAAATACGCTAGTAAGCCGAGGAAAAAAACAAATAAATAAAATTAACGATAAGTAAAAGGGAAAACAAAAACGTATTTACAATTTAGTAAAGCCTTGATTATACAATAAAACTATTTACAGTAAAAAGCCTAATTACGTGATAGATAAAGCTGTTATTGAGAATAAGTTAGAACCTTAGCTGACGAATTGCTTTTTTAAAAGCTAACAATGTATCGAGGGATCTTAAAGTATTAGGAACCTTGTTCCAAGTGATAGCCGCCAAGTATTTTACTGACTTTCTTCCATAACGAGTCGTATTAGGTTTCGTTACTTGCAGCTTGTTAACCCCTCTCAGGTTTTTGAGTATTGTCTCTTAACCTGAAAAGGTCTCTCAAATATTCAGGTGGATAATTGTTCATTGCTTAAAACACTATAATTCACATGTTCTAGATACTTCGATCCATAAGGCTGTAACCAATATAACCAAAAAGAGTGCTACTTTGAGAAGACTCATCACTGTATAGATAACACAGTGGTCGTTCGTGCAACCTATCCAGTTTTTTTGCTATCAGACTTCAAACAGTGATGCTGTACCGAGAATGAGACATTATGAACGAATTATAAAGGCAGAGTTTGGTCGGAAACGATGATATTTTCTTTAGTCTACAAAAGAACATCTAGCTGCTTTCCAACTTTCTTACTAATTTTCGTAATGTGTTTTCCAAAATTCAGGGAATCATTCAATGTTACCCCAAACAGATCAGCTGTATCAACTAGTGTAAAGCAACACTTTCAGCAAATAGTGATAGTTTGACATCGGGCTTTCGCGAGAGAACCAGCGCCTTGCATTTTTCAGGGTTCAAGATCATCTTGTTAATACGAAACCACTCACACACCACCACAAGTTTCTTGTGGAGAACATGTTCGACAATAGCTGGATCAGTATCAGCAAAATACAGCTGATCATCATAAGCATAGTTAGACAGCTTCGCCTCTTTGATGAAATAAAATAAGTCATTGAAGTTGATATTAAACAATAAGGGTCCCAAAAAGGCACTGTTACATATTAGGTTGTACTTATATTCACCCAATGGAATCTGACGGAAACCTAGGATGAAATATCAAACACCTGCGTACCTTTACAATTTCTGTTATATCTTTGAACTCATCATGCCTGTACACCATACTTTTTTCCTTCAACCTTCTTGATAATGCATCCAATAGTTTCTAAGGGCAAAGAGATCGCATTTGTTAAAACGGTTGCAAGACCGCCACTTAAAGATAGAGGATGTCAACAAATTGCGCATGTTTCCAAGATGAGTGAGGCCCTTAATTATATTTGAAAACTGCCTAGAAAGTATACACGCTTGTTCATAAGTTATTATAACAGTGTCTCGGATGCCTACTAACACTCAATTTGGTTCAACGCGGTTTGCATTTCAACTGATAAACTGATATTTTCTTGCAGTACTTGGCTATTATAGCTGAGTCCCGCTCATAAAATAAATTCCAAAGTGAAACCATCCCTCTCCCTCAAGCTGATTTGATCAAAAGGAGCACACTTGGATTAGAAAAGCCAAGACTTCTAGTAAACAAATGTTCAGCTTAAATACCGAATAGATAAAAGCGAGTATCTATCCTTAATTCTTACTCCTTATATGGGTAAATGTAAACAAATTCTCAAAAGTTCACAAAATTTCCAAATTTCTTTTTGTAAAATCCTACACATAGCACCACGCAAAAGTTTTTCCAAAGAGGTTCCATTTGATTGATAACACCATAGGATTTCGCCCACAGCTTTAAAAGTAAGAGAGGCTGTTATGTAATTTGGTGAATGAGTCAAAGAGTTGAATATCTCCTTAAATGTTCTAAAATCAGTTATAAAATTGGAAGCACACGCACTCACAAAATACGCACCAAGCCCTTGTTTATGGCACAGTGCTCTGTTCTGAAAAACAACGAAGAAATGAAAGTAAAAAAAGTGAACGAAACAAAGATAATAAACTGAAGACTGTGGTAGAAACCTTAATATTAAGCTGAAGATTGGGAGCTGTGACGTTCCAAAAAATCAGTTCAGCAAGAAATGCACCGTGGAACATACCAATGGCCTGGACAGAAAAAGTTGTTTTGTTTTCACAGGTTTATTCAGCATAGGGTATAGGCAGCTTATAATAATAATAATGATCATGATGATGATATTAATAATAATAACGACAATAATAATATTGCAATAATAATATTTGCAAAGCATATTTTCCGTGACGTACTGATGATATAGCCGGCTATACAATCTGAAACAAATTTAATAAAAAACAATACACGTAGCAGATACATTCTAGCTTTGCAGGAGTAGACGCGCAAGTCTACTTTTCATATGAAAATATAGGATGTCACTACAACGGGGAACGGGGAGCGGGGAACGAGCACAGGGAACAAGAAAATATAGAATGGGAACAAAACCGAGATTTGGAAATGAAGTTACTGATAGGGTTAGGGTTCGAGTTAGGTTTTGTTTCTATTTTTCATTTTCCCGTTCCCCGTATTGGTTCCCCGCTACCCGTTCCCCGTTCTAGTAACATCCGAAAATGTCTCGCAACGGAAGTTCAAACGTGTCAACTGGACTGACCATGTTAGACGAGGTAACGCTTGCTGAAACTTGTGTCACAACGCTACTGCAAAGACAATTCATCTGGTAACAAAGTATTAGTTTAAATTAAAATCATTACATTTCCATTAACTAGTTTTCTTCACTCACCTTCTTAAAAGAAAAAGGACGTTCTTCATGTTAACTCTCAGCAAATAGTTGAAACTGCAAATTAAAAAATAAAATAAGGAGCTCAGGTTCTCAGACTTGCAACTTTACTGTTATATAATCACCATTTTTGTTAGTAAGCACATCCCAAGCGATGCTCGAATCAAAAAAAGCTTGTGAACAGGCTCTCCGTTTGGAGGAAGGGGGCTAAAAACCGCGAGGAGACTGCGAGAGAAAAAATAGAATAAGGCAAGTGGGGGAATCCTCGCTTCGCTCGACAATTTTTCCCCTTGGAGCCTGGACCCAAGCTATCTCCAATATGATAAGTTGTAAAAACGATAGGGGTCTAATTAAACAACCACGTTTGAAAAGCTAAAAAGCTAAGTCAAACGAATGGCTGGATTAAGGTTCTGTCGTAAGCTTATCGTAAGCATAACATTGGCAAGATAAACGTTGTACCCAGATCTTTGTGTTTCCGATTATCCATGAGATGAATTACCAAATATGGCCTTCAGCTTAAACTACAGCCAGGACAATTAAACAACATGCATTCCCGTTCTCTACAAACCTTGACGTCATTGTTGTACAGAAAGAGACAGGAAAATGTGCACGCTTAAAGGCGTTGTCTTTATTAATTTTTAACCCTTTTTTTCTCTAGTGTTCTCGCTGTCGTTGCCGTCATGGTTGCTTAAGATTTAACAGAAATCTTAAAACAGTTTAATGAAGAATCAGAAAAGGGTTTAGGGGGGTGAGATGGCAGAACAAAATACTTAAAGAACATGATTAGAGAACGGTTTTCTTGGGTGAGCAGTTTTCTTGACGCGACAGTGATAGTAATAAAATTCGCGTGTAAAAAAAAACGAAGACAAAGCAAATGCTACCAATAACCAATAACAAGAGAGGCAAACACATTCAAAGAACCAATCAGAACTTGAAGCTGACAGGCGTAACCGGCAGCCAACGCCAAGCGCGGGAAAAAGCGAACGAGCAAATTACGATTGGTTTGCTTTCGGCTTCTGATTGAATAAGAATGTCGCCCGAGGTTTTTTCATCCAATCAAAAACTTCACGTAACTCAACGCAAATTTTATTACCTAAAAACAGCGGGAAAATTCATTAACTCCATTTCTTCCACAAGCAACAAATAAACAAAACAGCTGAGGCCAAGGGTTGGAAACGTCATCGTTTCTTGAAAATAAAAGTTAACATAATAAAGAGAATGAGCATATCGGACTTATAAAGTAATCAGACTGATAGTGCACAACAATTTGTCCATCTCTAATCTAAAATATATGAGTGTAACATACATAGGGCTGTTTAAAAAACGCCGCGGCTTACAAAAGACGCGAACACCCCGTATAAATGCACTCAAACACTGTCGTCGTCCGCCATTCTCGTCCCCAGAGCCACTCAGCTTAATTTGTAACCGACGTGACCAAGAAACGACGGGCTCTGGGGACGAGAATGGTCGTCCGCCATTTGATGAATCCTTTAACGATTCCTCTCATGCTCTCTTTTCACCCCCGCTGCAATGGCGGGAAATAGACCTTCTGCACGAGAGAGCCGGAAATTTTGTCAAAACTTCACCTCACCCATCGCCGGAATATCTCTTTCAAACCACTCGGTTGATCGCTGACGAACTTTTTGTCGAGGTTTCCGCACAAGTTTCGCAACAGCCCAGCACTAATCTTGACAGAAATGTTTGAAACGATAAAGCCAGTGTAATATAAGGCGATTTTCCAGACCAAAGCCAATCGTTTCGCTCGCGAAATTGTTGCAAATTACACGGGGCACCAAAACAAACTACGTCATCATTGGACCGGTCTGGCAGCGAACTAAGCTGTCACTCGTATAAATGGTTTCTTTCGCATCTTATGTAATCCGCGGCTTATTTTCTCTTGTATAAACGGCCCTAATGAGTAGAATTCTTTGTGCAACAACTTTTAGAGAAGTCGAGTAACTTTGCGTTATGTCTTAAAACATGTTTTAACATTTACTTTTTTAGGTGACGACCCTGATTCTTTCACCAACAACGTAAGAACATGTACGCACAAGCAACAGTCAACTTAAGCTCTGATACAGATTGACAGAGGCCCGCGAAAATCAGATCGGTTAAAACAACTTTCCTTTTAAAAATGTCTGTTACCATGTCTAATCGTTATACCAAATATTCTTTCGCTTTTTAAATGTGGGAAGCCACTAATCAAAAGACAATATTTTATAATGTTTGCACTCGAGGCAAAATTTTTAAGAGCGCGCACTTGATGACTTTTGACAACCATAGAGAAAGTGACAAAAAATTGTTCAAAACTCAAAACGCATTTTTTTTTCAGGTCTGAAATATCATGACGTCTCTTGGAGGACTGGTGGTACCCCACTAGACAGTACAGGTTTTGATTATAACAAATACATATATGTTTCGCACTTTTTAGTTCCATCTATGTCACCTTTCTCCTCGGCTTCCAAGTCCTCTTCAACTGAGATTTGTTCATCAGCACCTGGCTTGTCTTCAACTGTTTTGTTTATTTTATCAGGCATTTGACACATTTTCCAAGTATATTCCATGAGATAAACATTCACATATGAGCAACTAGTCATCTGGATAAATTGCTGTTGGTGTAAAATCAGAAAGCAATTTTACCTAACACCTCACACTGATTATCTCTCCTTATTAAGGCCGTGTTCGATTGCGGACCGTATGCCGGGATATGAATAAATGGAATCAACGCTAGAAATCACTTATTATGGCGTTCATTGCATTGCAGTATCTAGAAATCTAGAAAATATATCGACAAGTGTAGCGTTTAAGTGGTCCAAAAATCGCGTTAGAAAAGATTTCAATCAAAGCTTATGCCGGCGTATTCTTATTACGGAAAAAGATAAAATGAACGCACCCTAAAAGTCTGTGAGCTAACAACATGGCAACTACATGTTGTGTGTTTACATCAAAGGTTACCTGATGGAAGAGCAAAGTTTTAAACCTTATTAATTAAAGATAAGTCAGCAATTTTATACCCTGGGCAAAGGGTAAAATAATCTAGTTAAATGAAGCACCATGCAACGACTTTGTTGGCGTCGTATAACGGTACAAATTCATCCCCATCAAAATGATGATTCCAACAAATCGGTCAGCAGTGATAAAAGAAAAAATCTAAGACTATTTCATTGAATTTAAAGATGGTTTATGTCCAAAAAGCCGGATTTTTCTCAAAAACAAAAAAATCTATCCAACCTAATGCCTCAAGTGTTTGTCTCCTCATGCTAAAGCAATCAAAATTTAATTGCACCTCCTTATTTGTGTTCATGCACAGTGGTTCATACGAGAATTATTACTATAAATTTCCTGATTTATTACCATAATTTCTTGTGCCAGCTGTCTGTATGGTGACGCCGATAAAGCTAATTCTTTATCTGAGTCAGATTCATGGTTGTCTTTATCTTCAGAATCAACCATCTCATTACTTTCCTTTGCTAGATCCAAGTAAACGACTGGATAATCCAGAAGCTCTATCAAACTAAATGTAAGAGAAAAGATGGAGCAAGGATCAAGGGAGTCTCTAACAGAAGTTGCACCCATAAAGTTAACCTGTACTGTAACCCTCATTATAGTCAATAATGGGAAACATAATACCTGTGTAGACAAAGAGAAAGCAGAAAGTACTGTGTATCAAACTAAGCATGGTTAGACTTAAATTATAATGAGCTTTGAACCGTGAATATTGTCAGTACATTAGGCTGATTTACCAACAGGACGGGAACTTCAGTTCACAATGCGAAAGAGCGCAAAAAGGACTAACACGACTTCTGGTGCCCAATTTGCCGCTTCGCCATTGGTCAAGCCAGTTGTTTAATTTACGTGCACTGTCATCAAATGACGTTCCCGTTCTGTTGCTAATTCAGCCTAATGTACAGCATCAAGTACATTCCTTTAATCTTTATTCTACTTTGATTTGGAAAAGTAAGATTTATTTATTCATAGCCAGACATCACTGGATTTTAGGTATTCTAAATGTATAGCAGTAAACTAGCACAAAAATTACACAATGAATGTTTATATAACAAACATACACAAAAACAGATAAAATACAAAACACCAGAAACTCAACAGGTTTTAAGAAAGCAAAGTAAGACCATCAAATGGTTGAAACAGTGCCTACCATTTCAGAACCTCTTGTTGTAAGCCAGTGATGTATGAACTAGAGGAAGACTGATAAGATAGGACAAGATATTTAAAAACAGTTAGCGCCTATAAATATACACCTATTTTAATCAATTTTGTTAGATTTAGGTAACAAGTAGTTGTAGTTTGGTCACAGTTTTGCAGTTGTCAGTGCCTGTACAGAACAGTGTAAAACATCAAAAGTTTATGTCTGTGATTATCTTTATGACGTACAAGGTTGCTTCATGGCTGAGTTAAGTGAGTTTGGTGTTATAAAATTACCTAATATATAGCCATGCTGTCTAATGGTGTAGATCAACTTTCTGACAACATTAATTGAATAGCTGTCAGTATTAGGATACTATTAGTGTCATTCAATGTATTCAACATCATTATCAAGAATAAATTTGACAATGTAGTCGGATATGTTCAAAAATTGATTCGCATTTACTCTAATGCAAATAATCCATAAAAAATTAAGTGCATGTACAATTAGCTTGTTAACTTTTTGTTATCTTGCTGACAAACAGAAATGTTTGATCAACTTGAGATTCAATGCCCTGTCTACCACTTTAAACTAATTCAGTTAATGCAAATGTAAGGTAGGCACAAGTGTCCAACTGTTTTCTTATCCTAGACTTAAATTTGGAGGTAAGAATATTATTATTGCAAGGTAACTCACAAATTGACTCATTTAGTAGACTGACCACAGTTGATCAATTTTTTTCTGTTTTCAACAAATGAATAAAGATACATTGTACGTAAATCACAGCCTGGAAAGATTTTTTTAACCCACTGATCAAAAAAATCAATTGTCAAGAAATTATGCAATCAATCCTCATAAGGCAATTAAGCTATGACCATTTGCCTTCCCTAGTGTGACCTACATGTACTGACAATAGAAACAATTCAATCTATTTTGAATTCACATGCTCGAACTGCTTGGGTTCCCTGAGGCTTGATTGCATCATTACTCATTGCAATTTCCTTTCCATTAAAATGTACGCATCACAGGTCAAATTTGATTGCAGGTTAATTTTGATTTAACCTCAGTTTAATCTCAATTTCCCTTTGTCTCTTAGCACTAAAAGACAAAGAAAAATGAGAATCAATTTAAGTATAAATCAAGTACCGGTAACCTAAAATCAACTTTGAACTTTAACATATGAGACAACTATGAGCTAAAACCACTACAAACCAAATACCACAACATTGCATACTTTACATTAATTTTGTTAAGCATATTATTCATTATATCCATGTACTCACCTTGCTAGAACAGGAGAACTCTACATTGACTTCTTGTACAAGTGGCCTGAGAAACTCCAGTACACTTTTCATGGAATGCAGCATTACTTGGCCCTTTTCATCTGTGTCCTCATTTGAGCTCTTTTCTATTACTTCATCTGATATTTTAATGTTTCTGATGTTTTGCAAGACACATGGCAACACCATACTAAGACATTTCAACTTCTTCTCTTTCATTCTATTGACTGCTGTTAAAGTGAAAAAAAGAAGCCTTGTGTTTCTGTTGTTGTTGTTTCATTTTTGCTTTTTCTTCCAAGAATTTCAATTTTACTCATGATGTGCATGCATTCATGAAAATCCCCCCTTCTTATTTAGCTCGAAAAATTAAAGGGGCTGTGTCATGGCAGTCCAGTTCATTTTGTTTAATTTTGCCAATTATTTGCCCTCAATCGACTCGCTATGGAACTTAAAGTAAGTAAAGAAATTACAGGTAAATGACACAACCAGAGATCTGAGACAAACAAATATGTCTCCTGAGCATTATTTTTGAAGTTGCAAGCAGCAGGGATCAACTTTGAAAAACTGTTAGGCTGAGTTCACAGTTTTCAAAAACCCTAATTTCAATCTGTTTCAATCTTCTCCAGTTTTGCCCATCCGTGGCATCTGTTGTTTCTGTTATGTTATTTTAACCTTCCTTTAAAGTTTTAAGCAGTTAATTTTATGTTTCTCTTGATTTAACGGGCATTTTGTAATTTTCCTAATTTGGCTGAATTTCTTGACACAGCTCCTTTAAACTAACTTGACGAAATGAACCACCATAAAAGCAAAATTATCCCACTGATTTATTTAAACAATTCATTAACAAAGGGAAGGAGGCATAACAGAAGGCTACATCAGACAGGGAAGAATATTGTCAGTTAAACAGCAAACAATGCAGTTGAACCTCAATACAACAAATAGCCAAGGGACTGGCAAAATGTGTTATGAGGATTCATTATATAAAAGTTTCTTTCAAATTCTTTTGCTTATTTACAGAGCAAAAAGAATATAATTCTTTATGCCGAGGACTAATGTTACATATAAGTTCCTTTTATGGAGGTTCCACAGTACATATATCTTTCTATTTGTGGTCTGGCAATCGCTGCAACAAAAAACTTAGAGACATCACAGAAAGAACTTTGGGTTCTTTTCAGACAAGTACAGTGTACAGCTAAGATTATTAGAATGGTAATACAAAGAGATTCTGAACTTCTGATGATAATGACATTGGCAATGACAGTAAATTTAAGTATTAGGACACTGTGATAATGCATATAACAGTGACCATAATCATGATGATGATGTCATTGATGATGATGATCAGATGATGATGATGATTCAATTCATGATGATGATTATGATGATGATCAGATGATAATGTTGATGATGATGATGATGATGATGATGATGATAATGACAACAGTAATGTCAGCACCTAACGATGAATTAAAATGCATTTTTTTATAACTTTCAGTAACCATCTACCAAAATCCCTTGATTATTATTAAGACTAACATACCCATTTTGAGCATGTCCAACAAAACAACAAACCGTTCCAAACTGAAAGTTGTATCTCTGTCTAGTTGTTCCAGCACTCCAATGCAGACCTCCTTTGCACTACATGTCTGAAAGGTTGAACATAATAAATTACAAATGATTAGCAGTTTCCATTTTCAGTTAACCCATTCGCCCCTGAACCGCCCGTAACCGCCCGTGCGGATCCAGGTCCTTTCTACCCTTTGTGACGTCATCAGTTTTAACGGTCAAGGACAACTTTCTTCACTAACTTGTGCAGGGTGAAGAGATCTTCCAAACCATACAAGAATGAGCACAATTCAGTCAAGGACACCGGAGAAAGAAGCAAAAAACCACGTGACAAGGACCTGAAAATCTCCATGAAAATCTTGTTCCATTACCCACCTACCTTTCCTTTCACCTAATCCTAAGATCCTAAAAGCTTTCCTAAAAACTCTTCCCACCAAAATGAAGCCTACTAAATGCCCAGCAAGAGAAAAAAAAAATCAGGCAAGAAAAGCGAAAAAAGAAGGGAGGAGAGAAAGCGAAAAGTAAAAGTCAAGACTGCTGTGTCACTTTTAAACCCAAAAACTATGTCGAAATTTTGCTTTCTGCGCATGCCCGAACTTCGTAAGCTGATATTTTGCATCTGGATCAGAAGGCCGCCAAGTGTACGACCTGTAAACCGGTTTGTGGCAAGTTTTAGCTCTTTATAGCACGACAGTGACCAGAAAACCACTTGACTAGCTTCAAAACGCGTTTTTCGGCAAAATCTCCAGGAGCGAATGGGTTAAGGATGAAACTAAATAACATAATCACCTTTGGTATCCTTGCCTAAACTGGCTTCTTTGAGTTGCAAATACCCCTGAGGTACAACTATTTCTGGGCTGTCATTATTTTACAAAACAGACAGGGAAGTGATAAAAATATCAAGGGCATAGCTGTAATTAAACCTGACAGTCGGTTCCCCTAGCTGACAAAATTGCACCTGGACTTAAGCTGACTTGCTGATGACAGATAATACAACACGATAAACAAACATATCTGAGACATATTTAAGGGGAAGTTTACATGAAATAACTCATAAAGGCATGAGTTTCATAATGGGGTGACTTCTTGATTTTGTATCGCATTAACATGTTTGCATGTTTTTCTGTTGTTCCATGACAAACATGACGACACCATCTTGGATTGACAAAAATTACGCATGCGCTACCCATTGTGAAGTTCCAGAAAATATCCATACTCCCCCCACGGAAGGGATTGGAAATTCCTTGGGGGTGGGGGTTCTCAAAGGCCCAAAAATTTAAGTAAATATATGAAGCTTGACTGGAATTCCTTCCGTGGGGAAGTTATGGATAACGTTTGGAACCACACATTCCAGTCAACCAGCAGACCAATTTCACACCAAAACGAGTGGTCATTTCAAAATTACATGATACCATTGCAAAATTTCTAACCGGAGTGAGATTCTCGCTCCAAACAACCGGGGTGAACTCATGCCGGTGTGACTTGTGCTGGCATGACACTTTGTGGTGGTATCATGAAAACAAAATACAGAGCCATGAAAGGGAACCAGATTGGACTTGTACTGGCACGAATGTCACCCCGGTGCCCATGTGAACACCCCCCACATTCCATTGTTGCAATACAATTAAAGTCCAGCAATTTGAACAGTCTTAAGACTGTTAGATGTGAGACAGAACTGATGTCTACCCTAGCTACCTCAGCTACATTGATTGTTGAATTATTTTTTATTAAGTTTTCACCGAAAAAAGCTACTGAACAACATGGCTTAGAAGTTACTTTTATGCTTGCTCATGGAATAACAAATACTTATTTTATAGGTTTACCTCGGTGCAAAAACCGGTGAAGTTTTTATTTGTTTTCTAGCTATTAATTTCCTTAGCTCTATTGTATACCTGCCAACTTTTTCTGAGATATAAGCGTGAGATTTTTATCCTGGGAGTGCTGGGATTTTTGAAGACAACAAGATCATTTCCGAAGATTCCGGAAGAAGTCTGAAGTCTTCCGAAGAAGTCCGTAGACGTCCGAAGTCTTCCGAAGACGTCCGAAGTCTGCCGAAGGCGAGCTCGCTCCCAGTGCTTTTCACTTCAAAAATCAGAGATCGTGAGGAAGGTATTGTCATTTATTCATTTTACACATGGTTTTTGTTCCTTACATGGGTCTGAGTTAACATATTTTGGAAATTGTGTCAAGCAAGACGGCAACAACTCACATCTTTCAATCAGGCGTGAGAAATTGGCGCGCAGGCGTGAGCCTGCGTGAGATGAGATCGAAGTTTTCAACCCACAGGCGTGAGACTCACGCCTAAGGCGTGAGAGTTGGCAGGTATACTATTGTGTTGACTTCTCAGTGGCATCTTTGTATTCATTCTTTTGCGTCACTCATGAGTTTCACGGGTTTTTACAACAAGGATGAGCCTATTTTATACTTATTGGGTAAAGTGATGTTAGTCAAGTCAAACTGCTGTCTGATGAATCAACTTACAGGGGAAATGACACCATACACGTCACTGTGCCTCCAATGTCTAACTTACCAGAGCAATGACTTCAAGAATCTTCCTACATTCTTCTAAGACGCTAACATCAGTTCCATAAACAAAGGCTTGACAAATTACCCCAATAAGTTCCCATCCAACAAATTCCAAAGTATCCTGCAATGTAAAGGTTAACGGAAGAAGTTTACTTTACATTTATTGTAATATCCTCTACTGACACCAATGGTCTCGAAATCTGACAACAATTTCTCGCAAAAGTTGTCACCGTAAAAAAACGGTTCTTACCTCTAGGCACTGATCGGTGCAGACTAACTATACAAGTGTGACATTAGCACAATTTCAGAAAAATAATCAAACAAACCTTATTATCCGGGCAAGTTAAAACGTCAGCAAGTTTATTCAGCTTGCCACTATCGATACATTTTTGAGTAGCTACCAGGATGAGGTGAGTATTAGGATCTTCCACACGCTACAAAAGTAGAATAAGTCAGAAAAAGTTAATTTTTTCCAGTAAAAATATTCCCAAGGTAGACTTACAAACTGTAATAAACTCTCTTGCAGTTCTTCTATAACGTCGTCCGCCATCTTGGATTTTCATTTATTCCGTCATGTATTTCTCCTTTAGTGTACCTAAGTAATGCCGCTGACTATAAATTGTACGTTGACGTTTATGTGCAGTGGGACACGAAAAAGTATTTTGTTCGTCGTTTTCCGTGGTAAAAATCTTCCCTTCTTTCGATATAAATTAATTCCTCTTCATTCTCCTCTGGTTAGCTATTCAATTCTGGCAGAGATCTCAAAAAATGTTTTAACTTTATGCTGGAACCTGATCAAGGTCGTAGGTGATTATTTTTATCTGGCATATTTTTGTGTTTTTGCTGTAATAATTTCCTCGTTTGCATAATTTTGCAGAGGCAAGGGACGTGGAGATCAGACTGAGATGTATAAATCTTAGCGACCATGTGTGGGCACACTGGGGTTCGAACGTCAACAAAAAGTAAATATTTTAAAAATTAACAAAAAAAGAGTACTTTGAGCGGTGCGCGGTATCACGTGCCAAAATTTTAGTGAACGGTGTACGGGCAAGGATCAACCGAAGCGAAAGTAGCCATAGTCCTGAAAATCGAACCCCGGGGTTTTTTGTGTCATGTTTCTATGTTATGTTTAACCTCGAGGAAGCTAAGCCACCTGTACCGTTTGGTAGAATTTCTCCGCGAACAAGGATTACATCACTGCCGCAACTCCGTAAAGGAGATCATGTTATGGAGGAAAGTCCTTTAGGTTACTGGCATCACTTCATCGTGGAGAAAGTTCGACCGAAATTTGCTTGGGTTATTCACAAGACTGGAGACATGGAAACCGGATTGCGATCTCTTGGAGAAAGTAATCTCATGGGGAAAGCTGAGGTGGTTCGAACACGATTTGTTCTCGAACCTCAACAAGTTGTCTACAGAGTTGAATACCCTTTGAGCAACACGGATAGCGTCGACGGAGAGGTGGTTTTTACAGCAGATGAGGTTGTCCGACGGGCGAGAAAGCGGATGGGAGAGAGGGATTATAACGCTTTTACAAGTAACTGTGAGCATTTTTGTCGAGAATGCAAAGCTGGAAAGCCCGAAAGCTATCAATCACATGATATAATTTGGGCCATGGCGAGACTGTTGTTTGTATCGTTTCAGGGCATATTTGGTGGGGTGTTGTTTTTTGTAGCTTCTGCAACAGGCTTTGTAGCTCAGACCTCAGTGTTGCTCATTGGACATGCAGTAGGCCTGTTCATAGGACTAATTCAAGATGCCTTGTGGATTGCTTACGAGGTATTTCTGGCTGATCATGCCAAAGTGAAGGGTCACGTGACACCTGTTGAGGCTGAAAAGATCAAAGCAAAGCGAGTGACCCCCATAGTGTCAGGATTTTTGGGAGGGGTAGGAGGTGCAGCTTTTGGCTTCTACAATGTCCCAATTCCAGTATTTGGAAGTGTCATTGGAGCAGTGGCTGGAAACTTTTTATGTCAAATTTTAGGTCTTATTATTGGCCGCTGGGTGTCAACTCTATTAAAGTAGGAAGAAAAACATTAAAAGTACAACTGAGGGAACTTTAATCATTTTAACTGTCATTAACAAAGCTAATCACAGCAATGGGTGGTCATACATGCATTTGTCGGACTACATTCAGGGCTGTCATTAAGATACAGGGGCTGGGGATTTCCCCCAGCTACTTTCAATGGAAAATAAAAGAAAAATAGAACCAAAAGAAACCCGTAGCTGTTTGATTCACCCCCTACTTGTTGTATTTACCCGGGAACTTGAAATCTTAGTGACAACCCTGACATTAGTAGTTTAAAGTTATACAGAAACAAGTAACAAAAGAAACGTGGATAAGAAGGAATGACGTTTCGGTGTCACCTTGATGCCATTTTCAAGTTCAAAATGATTGCTGATAAACTGACAAAAACTTTTTCTGGCTGATGATTAGCATATACGAAATATAAAAAGTCACGCAAAAAGCTTCTCTATATGTCCAATCAGACTCAATTCGAGCAAAACTTTTTGTGTGACTTTTCATATTTTATACATGCTGATCATCAACCAGAAAAATTTTTTGTCAGTTTATCAGCAATGAACTTGAAAATGGCGTCAAGATGACACCAAAACTTTGTTCGTTCTTATCGACATTATTTTTTACTTGTTTCTGTACACTCGTAGAAGGTTTAAAACATCAGTAGCCTAAAACACAGCAGTGGTTGATCATTAACACCGTTCAACACATGATGAATGGTAACATTCATTCTAAAACCAAGGTTGCAAGAGGTTCAGTCAAGAAGACTCAAAAAGTGTTTGCTCTCAAAGTACATGATTACTTTTAATACCATAGTGTAACTCCCCATTTAAAAAAGATGGTTAATCTTCTTGGGGTAGAAAAAAATACTACCAGTAAAAATAACTTGCAAGCAACTTGTAATCACCTTTTTCTGTTTTATTTATTGTTACCAAACAAGAACAGGCAGATTACCAAACAGTGATAAATGAAGTTAAAGTGAGTGACTCACAACTACAGTAACTATCAATAAGTTGTATGTTGCTTTTACAAAGCCTGGTCTGCAGTGGGCTGCTACAGGATCAGAAGCTGTCTGTGTCAGATGTATATGTATTCAGACAACTCTAGGCACCACATACAAGTGTTTTTCGTTTATTTTAGTGATTGCAGATATTCCAACTTTGTTTAACTCAATTTTGTTGCAAACATGTCAAGCTTACCATATGTCTGCAGTGCAATATGTCACAAACCAGTATGCAGACCTGACCAGCTGGTAAGCAAGTTACAGAGCATTAATTTTAGAAACTAACCTTTAAACATCCCAGACACTTGTAAGATGGGGCAAATGAACACAAGTGACATTCACTTGAAGACAAATAATTTTTGTTTCTTATTGTAAATATTAACATTAATAGAAATTAACATGTACCATATTGCCTACTAATAATTTAACCCTGGGTCACATAAAATTGTCTGTTCAATGGACTTTTTTTTTTTTTTTTTAAAAAAAAAAAAAAACACAACATAGGCCCAGGGGTAATACAAATAACATAGTTATACTTTCTACTAGATCACCATGCCCCGGTTGTTCAAAAGGTGGATAGCGCTATCCACTGGATGAATCACTATCCTGTGGATAAGGCAATTGGTTTTCACACTACTTATCCGCTGGATAGCAATTTATCCGGTGGATAGCGCTATCCAATTTTTGAACAACCGGGGCCATATATATTTTACATAAATATGTTTGATTATTTTGTATTATTTTTTTGGACATGGAGTGACAAATTTTCTCTCAATTAATCGATTAAGCACTGAAAGGGTTAATACAATAATAACCGGTAAGTTGTAAAAATTTAATCAGAATATTAACATGGATATGTACATGTAAGTAAGAAAATATTGTTAGGGGAAATTAAAAACAAGAAAAGAATGGGAAAATGTATATTTTGGTTACAAATATTGTTTGTAAATACTGAATATAATGCTTTCCTTTGTGCATTAAAAAAAATTAATACCAGTCTGGGCCCAGTTGTTCGAAAGCCGATTAGCGCTTAACCCGAGGTTAAATTTAACCTGGGTTTCTTTTACTTGCGTTCAAAAGCATTTTCTCGGATAATTTTTTCTATTAAGTTTTAGAGCTTCCAATCATCAACTTGTAGACAAAAACAATTAAAACTGAAATGCTTTTTAAGCTTTCAAATCTGAATTCAAATCTTGCACTAACCCTGGGTTATCTTAACCCAGCTTTGAACAACTCGGCCCTGGCCATTTTGCTGTACCCAATGGTAAGAAATGAGTCACGTTCTAAGGACTGAAAATGTTGAAAGGCAAACTGATGTGATATTCTATGGCAGTATAAAATTTTACATATTCACCATAAATCCTCTCTTAAGTTCCGGGGACTTAGTTAACTCCAAGCAGGTTTAAGAGGACGGCTTATTTAATTTAGCAAAGATGATGGTATCAACTGTCCATAAAGAAACTTAGAATGCAAAGTGGACAAGCTCAGGCACATAAAGTTGGAGGTCATGAATCTAATCTTCCAGCATGTAAATAAACCATACTGGATCAGTCTATATGAAGTGTAAACAGTTGTGATCAATTGATAAAGTCTATAGTTTAAGAAAAAGTGGGAAGGGCTTCATATCTTTCTTCCCCTGAAAAGGGGGGCTTAATAAGGGATTGCCATGATGCCAGTGAAAAGCGCGGCCTACTTGGTTAGTAGTCGGCCAGCTACTCTGCTTGGCATTTCTTTACAGATGGCGTTTTTTAAATAAAATATCCCTGGACTGGCCGCTTACTTTGACAACTTAGCCGTCTACTTCAAACTTTTTGACAACCCTGTATTTATTCATTTTTGTCACTTCTCTATTACTCTGACACGCTACTTTTCTCTGTCATCCAAACAAGACCATCAAAATCATTTTCATCACTATCATTATTTAACGATTCATCACTTTCCTGGACAATAATAACATTATATCCGGAATGAAAGGGTGTATCACTTTCTTCTTCCTCTTCCTGAGTCCCTTGCTCCTCAACTTCACTCCAGTCTTTGCCATTCCAGAATTTACAACAATCATTTGGCAACTCCCAACAAACCTCAGACTGCAATGAAGGAGCTAAAGCAGCAGAAGTTGTGCAAACCTCGTCATCATTAACAGTTTCCCAATTTTCAGGTTCCTCATTTTCCATTTTTTGATATTTAACAGATTTGTTTAATTCCTGTTCATCAGCACAGGCATCCCAGTCACCATCACTCTCTTCACTGCTCCAATTATTTGAAGGCTTCTTCCAGAGAACTCCAAGTCCATCCTCAGTAAGTTGAAATAAAGGAGAATCCTGCAGAACATGTCTGTAGAGAAAAGCTGCTTTCAATGTAACATGTTTCATTTATTTTTCATTAGATTGCCAAGACTTACTGAGACTGATGGCTAAGTAGAGACAGCTTTGTTGACATAGCTATAAATACGAAGGGGTGTGGGGGGGAGGGGTACTCAAGAACGTTTTTTACAGGGAGGTTCTGCCCCGAGGTCCAACCCCTTACCCTACTTATAGAACTTTTTTTGACAGAAAAGGAACCCCTTTCCAACACCTACTTAGCTTATAACTTTGTATCGCTTTTAAGTGGTTAAATTAGATAAGTTTATTACAGTGACACAATACTCGCTATCAGATGTACTGCCCTTTAATCATTTAGATGATTCTAGCTTTTCTCTGGCGCTATATGAACTACAGAATGGTCCTGTTCACTTTGATCCCGATAGATTTTCTAGCTTACGTTACAATCCAATTTTTTCAAACTCAAACGCTTCTTTGACACAGTCTGGCAGTCTTGATCCTGACATTAATTTTAATGCAGTTGAGACACCCTGCGACTATTTTATTGAAAATCAATTTAACGAAATGCTCAGACGCGAAAATTATTCTGATGCCGATTTCTCTTTCCTACATCTTAATATTCGTAGTCTTCCTCATAATTTAGTAAAGCTGACTGACTATCTATCATGCTTAAACATAAAATTTTCTGTAATCGGAATTTCTGAGACCTGGCTAAACGATTCTGCTCATTCGGTCGATATTAATGGTTTCAAATTTCTTCACAAGTATAGGCAAAATAGAACTGGAGGTGGGGTAGGGCTTTATATTTCAAACGATCTAGAGTTCAAACTTCGAGAAGATTTGTCCCTCCATAATGTTGATACTGTAGAATCACTGTTCATTGAATTAATAAGACCTCGAGAAAAAAATATAATTGTTGGTATTGTTTACAGACCGCCAAATCATAGACTCGACGATTTCTTGTCTACAAACAATGAGTTGTTAGGTAATATCTCTAAAGAAAACAAAATATGCTTCCTAATGGGGGACTTTAATATTAATTTAATTAACTACCAAAATCATCACCTCACAGGCCAATTCCTAGATGGAATGTACTCTAATATGTTTTTTCCTTTGATTACGCGTCCCTCGAGAATTACTTCACATACTGCTACGTTAATAGATAAATTTTTTGCGAACAACTTTTTGAACGTTCGAGAAGCGGCTTATTATTTACTGACATTTCAGATCATCTACCCGTCTTCTCAATTCATTCAGATAACGTTAACACGCCGGTAAATCGATGTCGACAAGACCCCTTCTTTATTAGAGATAAGAATCCGAATAATATTCCTACTTTTGTTGAAAAACTAGAAGCTGTTGATTGGTCTTCGATTAAAACTTGTGATGAGCCAGATATTGCGTACAAATGCTTTCATGAAATGTATACAAAGATTTATAACGATTGCTTCCCTCTCAAGAAGGCGACTAGAAAGCAGAGGCGCTTTAAAAAACCGTGGGTTAAAGCTCTTCTTAAATCAATTAAAACAAAGAATAAACTTTACAAAAAATATCTTCAAGTTCCAACAGTCGACAATTGTTCACTCTACAAAAGATACAAGAACAAATTGAATCACACCTTGCGTTTGGCTAAGCGTCGGTATTATGAAAAGAAATTGGAAGATGCTAAATCAAATACACATGCGACCTGGAAAATTTTAAACGAAGTCTTAAATAGAAAAAATTCGAGGCCTCAATTAAATACAATATTTAAGTCAGACGGTCAGGAGATTTCTGATCCAGTGGAAGTAGCAGATAGGTTTTGCAGCTACTTCTCTAGTATTGGTCCCAACCTCGCAAAGAAGATACAGCCTCCTCCTTGTTCACATAAAGATTTTCTATCTGGATCATTTCGAGAATCAATCTTTTTAGCCCAACAACAGAGGATGAAATTATTACCATTGCTCAATCTTTTGCTTCCGGAAAGCGGCTGGATATGATAATATTCCAATGTCTATAATTAAGGAATCCATTCAAATCATTTCGGGACCTCTGGCTCACATTATGAATTTATCGATCGCTCATGGCATTGTACCAGATCAAATGAAAATAGCTCGTGTGGTACCTCTGTTTAAAGCTGATGACCAGTCACTATTCACTAACTATAGGCCTGTCTCGGTTCTACCAAGCTTTTCAAAATTTCTAGAGAGAATCATCTATAATCGTTTGTATGATTATTTAACTAATTTACATATTCTCTGTGATAACCAGTTCGGCTTCAGGAAAAACCACTCTACGACGCTTGCCTTGATTGATTTGCATGAAAAAATTTCATCTGCTATTGATCGTGGTGAATTAGCGGTTGGTGTCTTTTTTAGATCTCTCGAAAGCTTTCGATACAGTTAATCATTCCATCTTATTTGATAAACTTGAACACTATGGTATACGTGGCTTGGCTCTGAAATGGATTAAGAACTATTTTTCCAACAGACTTCAATTTGTAGAATACAATGGTTATGTTTCGTATCGTGCTAATATCATGTGTGGCGTTCCCCAAGGTTCAATACTAGGGCCTTTGTTTTTTCTACTCTACATCAACGATATAATCAACACGTCAACAATATTACAACTGATACTATTTGCCGATGATACAAACGTATTTGTGTCTCACAAGGATAAAGACTGCCTTACTAATATACTGAACGCTGAACTAAATAAGTTGTCAATATGGTTTAGAGCTAACAGGCTTTCATTAAACTTGAAAAAAACCAAATTCATTGCATTTAAACCATCCCAAAAGCATACAAATCAAACTATTCAACTTTTAATTAATAGTCAAAAAATTGATCAAGTAAAAGAAACAGTTTTCCTGGGAGTAATCATGGACGAAAATTTAAATTGGAAATCTGAAATCTCACATGTCGCCAATAAAGTTTCTAAATGCACAGGAATTATTCGTAAATCCAGTTTCTATTTATCCACGAAAACCTTACGAACACTATATTTTTCTCTAGTCTATCCATACCTTTTTACTGCAACTTAGTTTGGGCCTCTACTTACAGAACTAACCTTATTCGTCTTGAGATTTTACAGAAACGAGTGATCAGAACTATAGCTAAAACCACTTTCGATGCACATACTGATCCAATCTTTCAAAATCTTGGTATCTTAAAATTTCATGATATATACTTAATACAACTATGCTTATTCATGTACTCCTATCAAAACCATACTCTACCTTTAAAATTTCATTGTAAATTTACCTTACAAAGTCAAATTCATTCGTATAATACAAGAAACTCGTGTAAATTTCGTCTGCCTTTCTGTCGTACTCGAACCAAGCAATTTTCCGTTTTTTATCAAGGACCTAAATTTTACAACACCTTAAACACCAACATCATCAACGCTTCCTCACCTTTCTCCTTTAAAAGAGCACTTAAGGCATTTATTTGTAATAATTATTAGTATACTTCAACAAAAATCTTGGGAAAAAGCCTTTTAATATTCAACATTTGTACATGTAAACTTCCGTAATATTGATTAGTTTAATTTTTCACCTGATATTATACTGTACCCGTCGCCGTAATTTTTATGCCATCTTCGAAAAATTGTAATTGAGGAGGCCTAATTCACATAAGCTCTATAGTTTCTTTTAGGCCTCCTCGCCATCTCTTCCTACATTTTTTTTTTTTTCTTTTGGCATCTTTAAGTAATGTAATTGTGTGGCAAATAAATAAAAATACCTAAAAATACCTAACTGCTGTAAATGCACTGTCCTTAAAAATACGAATAAATCACAAAACCAGAACCTTTTCTCAACTTCTTCACAGCCATAAAATAAAAGCATCTGTTAGGCCTTGTGGGTCTTTTTACTGACTGAAATGACAGATTTTTATCCTTTCGTATACTTGAACTAGTGAAATCCCTATACCTTTCATATACCTGAAGCCTGAAGAAGAAGATAACCTTTTCGAGCAGAGCTTCCCTGTATAGGCCATTATAAACACAACTATCAAGTAAATAATTTTTTTGGAAAGCTAAGACTTTTTCACCACTTATTTAGCACTTTCTTCACAAAATTAGTTATATGAATAATTCCATTGGCAAGGGGAGTTCACTTTACAACGTCTGGAAATGAAAATTCCATGGAGGGGTGTGGAAGTATTTTTTTTTTCTGGAACCACTCCTTTGGACCATTGACTACCACAGTACAACTATTCTACGTAAGTTATTTTTGATCCACCTACCTGAGCTTCTGAATGTCGTCACCACACAACTTATGAAGTGATGGAAAGGCTAGCAGTTTCTCAAGTGAGTATATTCGTTCTTCAACACCATCTATGCTCTTTGAATAATCACTGAAACCTTGAAGTTCCTCTGCCATTACATCATTATCATCTTTTGGTGACTGCTTATCACTGTGACCACTGCTTGATGAAAGTTCATTATCATTATGTTCACTGGGTGTTGGTTGATCATCACCACTATTGCTGGGTGTCAGTTCATTGTTATCTTCATCATTAAGAGTCCATTCAATTACACCATCGCGATATGCTGTTTGTTCATCATTACCATCATTATTGGGTGTCAGTTTGTTATTATGTTCGTCGTTGGGAGTCATCTTAATTACTCCATCATCACTGAGTGTTGGCTTATCATCACCATCATTGCTGGATGTCAGTTCATTGTTACCTTCATCATTAGAAGTCAGCTCAATTACATCCTCATCGCTGGGTGTTGACTCATCATCACCCTCCTCCGCCTCCTCCTCTTTAGAAGATAATATCCACAACACATATTCCACCTCATGCAAAATCTTTTCTTTCTCTGTTCTTGTGTCCCTTTTAAAAGGGTACTCAACCTCTGCAACCTATTGAGATGAAAATTTGTGATAACTGGAAAATTGTACGCAAAGTCATGATGTACAAGTTAAAACATATCCCCGTAGTCAATGTCTCAAGTTTCAATAAATTAAATCCTCCACACAAGGGAAGACAATAATTTTCTTTTGATAAACACTACCGGTAGCACAAGCTTCTTTCCGGCATGGTTTTTAGCCTTCTCAAAGTCTTTAGCGCTGAATGTCACCTTATAAAGGCTAAAAACCATGACAAAAAGAATCCTCTCTTAGCAAGGTAGATGAACACAGAGCAGTTAAAAATTTATTGTCATACCACACACAAATTAAGAAATCACTCAGTACTCCATAATGATATTTACATTGCAATAAATACAACCATGCAGTAACAATATAAAAAATAATATAGAACTCAAGGCAAATAAAAACATGAAGTACCAGATTATAAGGCTGGCAAGTTTGCAATAACTTTTCTGGAGAAACGGATGATGAAATCCTCTTAAACACTGCAACCTGTGAGCAACACCCTAAATGTTCTGTACCCTGTGGTCCAGGTGCAATGCCGTCAAAACTCACAGTATAGTTGTACTGGCTGGCCTGGGAACTGCACCTACAAAGTCCAAACAGGTTTTATTTATTACAAGGCATTTTTAGCAGTCTCCCACTCTCCAAAAGAATGAGATTGGTATTAAATAAATATAATGTTGTTTGAGTCCAATATCTTATACGTAAAATCAGTTGTTGGTGGAGGTTAAGAACACCCTCCCCTTGTGCCTCTTCAATGCTACATAACTCATCAAATTTCGTTAAAACACCAGACTGAAACAGAAGTTTGTTCATGCCACACCTAGTCAACCAACTTATTTTATTTTTCCCCGAGTGTACTATGTCTTCTTCTCTCCTACCCCAATGTTGAGATTTGCATATGTTTGCAAATAGGTTATACATGAATCATCATTGGGAAGGGAGTAACATGACAGCTGTTTCAACAAAATAGTGAGGAGTATTGTAGCTACCAAGTAACCTAAAACAGGTCAAATTCATTAGACAAATAGTAGAAGAAGGCTAATAGTGAATGTACTATTATAAATTTAAAATGGCACTCCAATATCTACTTTCAGCTTTCAATGCTCATACTTAAACGATTAGCCCTTAAAATTACCAGTATTCACATGCACAAGACCAGGAACTAACCATTCCTCAAATTCAGCTCTTGTCCATTCAAACTTGTGATCATAATGTCGGAATCCTTTGAGACCGGGGAACAATACATTGAACTCCACGTTCGGTGTGGTCACTATAACAACCTTGGGTGACAAGTGGCCAAACACAACCTCTGGCATTGAACTAAGAATATCAGGTTCAAGATGCTCTATTCTGTTAGGAGGCAAATAGGTTGGAAAATTCAAATGACAGTTAAAACTGCTTATAAAAGAATGCTACATGCACAAACCATACAATTCTTGCCTACGATTTTTTGTCCAGGCCAATGCAATATTAAATTCACTCAACGCTTAGATTGGTGTCTACAAAACCTGGATTGAGCCAAGTACTGTAACTCATGGAAAGACACAGTAGGTTATAGGGATGGGGTTAAAGGGGATGATCCAATCCATGATTCGTGTACCTGAACCCCTATGAGGACAGGTTGATTTTGATTCATTCACAAATTAAATCATTGCCAATTATTAGCCTTGTCTGAACATAGAAAATACTCTATATTATGGCAACTTACAGTTCAACACAAGCAATTAAGTCAAAGTCAACAAATCTTCCATCCACTTCAGCTATAGAACCTAAAAAACATGCCATATTAATAAGTCAATAATAATTACTTTGCTGATATATTAGCAATAATAATGGTATTTATTAATTTGTGCAGTTAACCCTACCCTGCGAACAGAGTCTTCTTCGATCTTCCAGACTTATCTAGGAAAGATCGAAACGACTCTGCTAGCAGGGTAACTTAACCCCAATTATATCATCAAAAGCAGTTAGGGGCCAAGGCCTGGTCATTATAATAAACTTTAATTTTTGCATCCAATTCAATCACTTGATAAAGATTCCATGATGAAATTGGTTCATAACAGTGTCATACTAACAAAGGTATAGGTTTCAACGAAAAAATTCATAATCTTTACAAATGACATGGCAACATAGCCAAAAGTGCTAAATAACTAATCAAATGTTTATATCCAGACAAAATCTAAATTACCTTCAGATAATGTAACTGAGTGATTTCTCACCAGCCCATTGTTAAAAGAGCAATGTTCTCTGGGAGTATAAAATAGACCAAGGAAATGACATTAACATAATATGGGCCAATCTGTTTTAATCTTTCTAACATGAAATTTCCCCTGTATCAATCTTGTTCCCATGGGAGAGAGAACCTGGTAACAAGGTTGCCCCTGTATAACCCTGTGTCTAGACAATGGAAAATGGTTGTCTGCTTGTTGAAGGCCATACACTGCTTACTTTGCTAAAATGTTAATGACATGGATTTTCAAAGGAGCTATAAATTGACAACTATACTTACCCTGATAAAGAGAAACTTTAAATGGATGAGTACGAGGTCTCAGGTAATCCCCTAGGAGAGGCTTAATGCGAAATTTATTCTCCTCAAGAAGATCTCTGTTGATATCTATACCAACCACTTCTTCCAAATGAGTTAATGACTCTTGATTTATTAAAGCCTTTACAAGTTTTGCTTCAGCACACCCAAAGTCAAGGACCTAAGATAAGAATATTATTAATAATGATAATTTTATTATACCTTAAAAAGTCCCGGGGGTACTTTAGGAATTTCTGGGTGGAGATGTGCCGCTGGGACCCTGGAACCCTTAACCTATACCAGAGCTACTTCAGCTGAATTTTGCTACCCTATACCAGAGTAAACTCCCCAAATCCCCATATCCTAGAGTAGCTGTTTCCCTAGTCTACATGAAATCTTCAACCAACTGATCAGTTTCCTAAAAAATGATACCCTATTCTAGACTCTAACGCTCTGATTTATATACCCTATCCTAGAGCAAACTGCTTGAAAACCATACCCTTCACAGCGGCACATACCTATATAGCCCATATATGGCAATACCCCCGGGTGAAAAGTCAACCAGGTCTAGAAAAAATAGTAAATAGAGGAGCATTTTTAACAAAACAGTTATTAAAAAAATAAGCTTAGCTTAGCTCACATCTCATGCTTTTAAATGCTAAAAATCCTTTTTCTTTAATTCCTTTTATCTGGTTCTTAATGCCACACAAAAGAAGAAACCAGATTTCCTTTTACCAAATATCTACAAACTCTTCATGCTTTTGATACATGTTCCTGTGGTATCACAGAAAGGTTCTCAGCTGAGTGGGTGTGTGCTGCGCAGAGCTCCAAATTTCGACCATGATTTTTGAAGGAATTCACACTGAAATATATTGATATCTCATGCAAGAGATAAATTGTGTCCAGTTTTTAAACCCTGTTTTAAAACTTATTTTGCCGACTGCTAAGGTTGTGAAGCTTTTGTCCATGTTGTACCTTTTCCTAGAAAATGTCTCTAAAATAGATACCCCAATAGAACCCGATTTCCATACCCCTGAAATCACAACTACACCAGATAGTATAAAATATAGCCTACAGCTGTGAACTGTGGATTAAAGGCGAGAGATTGCAAACTAGCATAAAACAATAGTCCTGGCCTAATACACAAAAAAAATTCCTTTGACTTGTCATGCAATCTCTTCTCCAACGTTGGTCATTTTTAATTCTAAGTGAGCTTGCATTAATTTTATACCCGGTCCGTACTCCGTGCTCCGTAATCCGTAGTCCGCAGTCCAAGGACTGACTGTTTTTCTCCTAGCTGATCCTAGCTGATAAGTTAGCAGTTTTTTTTACCAAACTTGGACATTACCTTTCTTGCTTGATGCTCCTTTGCTAGCTCACAAACAGCAGCATATCGACGACGGTAAACAGGTGGAGAAAATTTTGGACCTCTGAAGGCCTGTTCGTTTTCGGTTGATGAAAACGGTTGTTTTTCCAATTCACTTTCGCTTTGAGCTGTTTCGTCCGCGGGATTGGTGTTGACTACCGTCCCGTTTTGACCACTCATTTTTAACCATAGCCTGAAATTTTGAATAAGTTTTAACTCAACCTAACATCAAAAACCTATCATTTTGACACACACTTGTCATAAAGTTGGCATTAGCTACATGTTGTACTCCGATAAAATCTGCCGCCATCGCTTATTTTTTCCATGTGATGAGCAGGCCTGGAACGAGTGGTGAACTTTCTATTGTTTATTTTTTGACCGAGGAAATCTGGGTACAGGGTAATTGCACCACAGTCGGAAAGTTTCTGTTTTGAGTATTTTTAGGCTGTTGGTAATAGCTAATGTAGCTATATTTGGCGCAAATTCTCGATTTTGGGACATATGTAAGGTATAAAATCCGGTGTTATTTAATTCCTTTACTCATTAGACTCGCTACTTTACACTGAATAGTTCTTTTTTGTTCTTATAATGACAGAAACCTCGGGTTCAGATCCTTCGGCTTGTGCAAACGAAGATGTCCTTGAATACACAGCGTACAGCGATAGCGTATTAAATTCCGATGAAGAATCTCTCGATTTTGATTTGTACGATGACGAAGATTACCTACTTTCGTACTTACTTAGCGAGCTAGAATTCTACGACCAAAAGCATGGAAGAATTTCCAGGCGAAATGGCGGAAGGAAACTATCGATGAAAGCAAGACAAACTCCTCGAGAAAATTATGGAGAAACTCCTGCCAAACTTGAAGGCGCCGGAACGTCCGCCAACAAAGAGCTGCGGATCAAGGAAATGGCCGTTGCAAATTCGAAGAAAAAGAAGGAGAACAGTACTAAAAAGGCAAGGAAGTCGAGTGGAATTGTCGATGACAAAGTAGCTACAAGAAGGGCTAAGAAGGGTTGCCTCAAAAATAAGCTTGCTGACAAGAGAGCGGACCATGAACCCTTCAGTCAGACAACAGATCTAACAATATTCTACAATAATTCTGACTTTGTTCTCGGATCAGGAAACAGTGTTAAATTTGGCGACCAGGAGTTGATGAACTTGCTGATTGAACTTCAGGACCGCGACATTACGCCAGAAGATTATGATCTCCTCGTGCAGTTAGATTCTTCTGTAAAACCGAAGACATTGTCGGAGGCTCAGATTAACAGTCTTCGATCAGACACTGTTACAGCTAAATTAGATGACGTATGTAGTATTTGTATAGAAGACTATGACTGTGGGGAAGTGAGAAAGTTTCTTCCCTGTGGGCATTATTTTCATGGGCAATGTATCAGCACATGGCTCAGCTGGACATCAAACAGGTGTCCAATTGATGGAAGAGAAGTCACTAGGTAGCATAATTAAAAAAATGGTAGAATTCTGACAAGTGGAACATGGCCTTGAATCAGCGACATAATACAGATGAAATGGTGATCAACGACAAGTTGAAACTGCGACAGTGAAAAGAACAATCGCAAATACACTTAACATAATAAAATACAGGCAAGGACATGGCCTCCTTGTCAATGCACAAAAAACTCAGACTAGGGGCTTTACGTGCCCCCCTAAGATAAAGTCTAGTGTAAGAGAATCTTTAAGTGTCTTATGCCATTGCAACCTGGAAGTTATATTATTGGGCACTGTGTGTAAATTTATTATTTTGCCCTCTTTTGTCATTATTTATAAATAATAATGTAAAGGGAACAAAGACTTATCGAGCAGTATGTAAATCATGATTTCTGGCAAACCTGAAAATAAATATGATTTTAAAGTAACAAAAAAAATGCTTTTCTTCTAGGTATAGTATAAATAAGGGTCAGTATTTTAAAAACATATTTACATACATATCATGTACTAAAGCAAACTCATTGCAAAACTGTCATTTACAAATAGTGATTTCAACTCCAGTGTAAGTTTGATTATTTTATAAACCATGAAGATGCATCAATCACCAACTACAAATTGGTTATTTACATAAATCTATTTATTGTTGTCTCACTGTGCATGTGAATTCATCATTTATAAAAAACATAGTCTCTTGTCAATTCATCATTAATAAATAATGACCTGCACCAGGGCACATACAATGTAGGGGATCCAGACCTTCGGGTGGAGGGGAGGGGGGCAGTCATCCAGACCCTGAGATAAGGGGGGGGCACAGTCTCCAAAAAAATTATTTTCAACCCTTCAGGCATCAGTTTGGTCTAAAAATAATGCGGGGCCAGGCCCCCCCAGGCCCCTCCCCTGGATCTGCCAGGATCTGCCTGAGTCTTAAGTTATGAAGAGGAGGGAAGGGAAAAAAAAGATAACAATTTCTGGAAGGACCCCCCTTCTGGGGCATAAAAATGACAAATGCTTACTTTCTTGTAATCGGTTCCTTAATTTTGATACCCCCTCGCCATAGTTCTTACTGCAATCTAGTCTTTCTTCTTTACTATTTCGGTGCATGTAGCCTTCATGACAGGCACTTTTTGTAAGCAAAGCGAGGCGAAGGGTACATTTCACACAAAGAGGGAGACAAGTGCCAAACGCAAGATAAGAGGGGGGAGAAAATAATAATGAATAATTTTCTTTTCCTTCCCCTTATGTCGCCCTCTGCGTTTGTCTCTTGTGTTTTGCAAAATGCCCCCACCCCCAGTTGCAAAAAGCACTAGGTGCGTAAAGTGGACCAGCCAATACACACAAAACATAACTGAAGCCTGCCAAGACCATGTTATAAGTGATTAAATTTGTAACATTACTTTATACGTTACTAAACTAATTTTTGCGTGTTTTTTTACTTCACGAAAACTCTAAAGCTCAACCAGTCGAGTTTCTTTAATTCTGCGATGAGGAATGCTAAAACTTGTTGATGAGTTCACATTTACGGCCGTTCGTTTTCCTGATGGCTGTTTCATCAGCGTAAAAAGCTAATCATAAAAAAATGGGGTTGTTGTTTTGCATTGTTTAGGCGATGTCTGCTATGTTCACACTGTAACTGATAGCTTTTACTGGCGCAATGAAAAGCTCTTCTGTACTGTGTAAACACCAATCCGATATGTGACTCTCCACTTTAGAGATCGGTGCGGCGCAGCTTTGCAGAAATCGCGCCGCCACAACCGTTCTTGAATGGGAACAGAAGCCCTACCCAGTATACTTTTTGTAGCGGGAAAGAAGCTATCTGGTACAGCGTGATCATGGCCTTAGACACACTGTCTTTTGCATTTCAGCTAGGTTTATATCCCTCTTCATTCTGATCCTTGAAATTGTTATAATTATTATCATTATTTAGGAGTTGTCACTTCTACACAAACATAAATATTCTGTATAGGATATCCGGAAGTAAAATTGGTTACTGCCACTTATTGTTGTGATAGGAAATAAGCCCCTCTAACCACTCTAAAATACTCTTGACCTCCCCTGCTCTCCCCCCTCCCCCCCCCCCCCATCCTTTTTACCTCTCGCCGCTCACGTAAATAATGACCTATCCCAAGAGCCATAATAGGACTATTATGGCTCTTGCCGGTCCCTAAAGTCCGTAAAATTAAAAGGATAATTTATTCATTTCCTGTGCCGCGGGAAAGCCCGTTAACGTGGTCAAGTTTCGAGAGAAACTCAAACGAGCCTTATTAGTCATGGCGGATAACTGGATCGTGACTTACTAGGCTCTCGCAAAAAAGATAGATACTCATACTCATAGATATTCAAAGCTAATAACAGTTTTTTGAAAAATGCAGTGTCTTGAAATATTTTCCTCTTCAAAAAAGAATTAAAACCCTCTTACATTCTTTACAAGAAGAGACAGTGAGCCATCGTCACATCCACAAGTTAAGGTTATGGGTTCGTCCCTTAAAAAAAAAATCTTCCTTGGCCAGGACCGGCGAATTTTTATCTTTTGACTTAGTTGCCTTGCCTAGAACAGATACACGAGTCACATGGCGGGGTTTATAACAAGACTCAATGACGCAAACTTTATAGGCGGAGATCTGCGCGTGAGCATCAGTTTGTAATGTCAACAAACGCCTGCACGGACTGACTCTGGGGAAGAAGGAGGGAATTCTCTGTAAAAGAGGGAAGAAGAGTCACAAACATGCAGCTTGCGTTTGCATGAAGGGGACATTGGGACAAAAATGTCATCGCATACCCCTGGAACATTAGCACTGTTTCATTTGTCGCTGTATCATAAAACATCCTACTAGATTATGTTCCGTACATTTTTTTATTGCATAGTTCTATGCCATTATCTATTCTGGAATTCCAGTGGTACGTAGACTCCTCGGTAGTCGATATGGTTGGGATACTTGAAAGGTCCTTAGTCAATACCTTCGCGCGCTTCAGTAGCCTTAGAAAGGAAAAGCGCGAAGGGACTTTTTAAACATCATTTCTCCCCCGAGCGCATTCCATTTCAGAACTTTAGATATTATAACACCTAACAATTATCGCATGGAAAGCAACCTCAATGTTGTTATTAATAAAGTAATAAGTTCGATGGGCTGCAGGGTTCTAGTGGGTCTACTGTATAAAAAATAACGACACCCTTACATTCAATTGACGCGCGCGTAGCGAGTGATGCGCACAAGGGTAATACTTTGCTCGAGAGAAGCATGGAACAAATAATTGTGTAATATAGTCTTTATTTACAATAATATAAATTTACAAAGAACAAGCACTTCAGGCTATGTCATGTTATGTTCATACGAACTGGTCAAACGGATCGGTCTGATACCATGCAGACAAGATCAGATGTGCGTTAAAAGGACTGTTACTCTTAAACACAACTGATCTGCCAATGGCTGACTTCTGGACAAATAAAAGCCTACAAGAGCCGGTTGTGTTGTTGTTTTAGTTCACGGCACAACTCAAACTCGTCTCCAGAGCAAAGGAAAATCTCTGAGGACAAGGTTGGCCACAACTGATAATAGAATTAAAAAAGTGACCAAAGACTTCTAGGATCTTTTTTGTCGATAACAAACGATCAGTTAGGCAGTACTTTCGTTTGAACATATCTTCAGAGATCAGTTACAAATTTTTTTTTTGTGAACAATTAGAACTGTTCGTACTAACATTTCTTGATTCCAAACAGCAATGAAAGCACAACAATAAACAAATAAGTATGATATAAAACACACGAGTCCACACAAAATGAAAATGAAGGATGACGTCATTGTACGTCTAATCACATCCAAGTAATCCACGTTACATACTATAGTGAGAATTTCGCATTGAAATCATGACATGAAAAAAAAAAGAAAAACAGCAACACCCTAACAAATATAACTACCACTTATAAAATAAAAACCAAGCCAAGTGCAATTGTTGTTTGGAATAACCTGTGACAAGAGTCTTCGATTGTTTTTGCTTGATCACAACTTAAACAGGGACGGCGGTAATTGTGAGGGTGGAGTACTGTGGAGCCTAAAGCTTAAGTTAGAAAATGTCTTCAGCACCTCGGCTTCACCGTCCCTGTTACATTTGTGCCCAGTTTGGTTTTTCAATTTGGTAAGTTATTGTTACAAAAAGTATTTTTTTCAACAGCTTTCAGGACTTACAATCTTTTTCTTACTCTAGAGAATAAATTACTAGCTTGTACAGTATAAAATACCAACAAGTTACTCTCCATTTCGATTGGCAAAAAAAAAGCAGACGAAGATAACCAAGTTTCTTGTTCTGTTAAGACGTATATACTATGATACTGGTTATGGCTTCCTTTTTCACTATTTACATATTTACATTTTGCTTATTTACAACTTAAACCATAAAAAACTGAAAACTGGATCAGAAGGAATTGACTGAAGAAATACTGAACAATTTTCTCTTAATAAAGGACTTGTTACTAAGATCGAGGCAAGACGTGAAAAGAAATATTAACTGCAAACAATTTACGTGTAGTGTTCTCTTACAGAAGAAACGGAAGTGACGTAAATAGCTTTTATCGATAAGAACTTATAATGGCTTAAATGTATCTCTTTTTTTATTTACATATTTAACTAATTACATATTTACACTTTTAGGCACAGTAGAAGAGAATCTGGAATCAAGAAAAAACGAATCTGTTAGTTAAGCATTGATCAAAGAGGTATCGGAGGTTCCTTTGCAGTGATTGTGAATGCATTCACGTTAATATGGAAAAATACAAATAAGAACGTCGTGCAGGGCTAT